ATCTATGCGCGTGCGGGCAGGCGAGGGAGACAGTCGAGCATTTTCTCTTCCGATGCACACAATGGACAGCGTTCCGAACCGAGATGCTCCAATGTACGGAGACACACAGAAGCAATATGTCTTTCTACCTAGGAGGAAAGACACCGACAGATGACAAGCTTTGGATGCCGAACCTCGCAGCGGTGCGGGCAACGATAAGATTTGCTATAGCCACAGGACGACTTGACAACACCACCTGACGAACTCACCATCACCCTTTCACCATCATTTCCGATCCTTAAAACCCAACTCGTGCCAGGAACAGCAGGCGCGCTTCAGCTGCCGAAGATAGGACGTTGAACACTTGGAGAATCACCTCAAGGTAGGCTGCTAACAATACTAACACACGAGAACCCGTAAAGACGTAGCAAGCGAGTAGAAGGAGATAGCGAAAAGGAGGTTTTATTTGTATGGGCTCCAAGGAGATTAAAGCATATCTTAAGAATTGTATCACTAGAACTAGCATCAGTTGCCCTTTCGGCTTAGCCGCCGGGCGTAATAAATTGTGTGTGTGTGTGTGTATTGAAGTTCTGCAATATCTGATCTTGTAAAAAAGATGATTAGGCTCCTTTTTGCTAGCAGCTCTAAAACCAAAGGCTGTAATTTTGAAAGCTTTTGATTATCAGGTCCTGGGCTGCATTTCTCTGACCGTCGGCTCTGCATCCTGTTCCTCCATGGAAACCACCCCCACCCCTGCTGCCACAGGGGTTGCTGCAGGGGCTCCAGGCTCTTGAATGGAATTCTCATGTGGTCGTCGCCTAATGGCAAGGTATCATTGGCCTGCTTGTCCACGTCGGCGATGAATATGCTTGAGCAACTTAGCTCACAGAGAACTATTCTACCAGCGTTGAAACTTTGAAGTACAACCTTGGTCCAAGCCGCAACTTTGTCAAGCAGTCTTGTTCTTGGAGCTCTCGGAAAGCTATTATTTTGCGACCCTGGCGTTGGATCCGATGTGTTTCTACGAGGGGACAGATTACTCCTGTCGTGATTGGAAATGGGGCAACATGAAGACACGATGTGCTCGCCAGCCTCGTTTGGGGGAGACTTGTGGAGCAAAGCTTACGGACGCGGACCATTTGAAGATGGTTGACCAAGAATGTCGCGTGTGTCACACTATCCGCACAACGTGAAGAAGTTTTTGACTTGAGGGGGCTAGTAAAGACACCCCCTCCCACCCTCTCAAGATGTCCGGCAAGAGGTTGTAAGGCGCATGTTGAGGCTTATTAGAGTAAGCCCTCTTCAAGGGGTACTACAGTAGTGCACCCGAGGTATTGTCACTAATTTCGTGAGTACTAGAAAGAAAGGCCAATCTGGCCACTCTGCTTTGCTCTTGATTGGCCACTCAATTAAATTTAACCTGCGCTTTTGCCTAAAGCTAAACAAGGCGACTCAAGAGTTCTGCAACAATCTACCTGTGCTAGTAGTAGCGATTACTCATAGAGCGGCACACCTCTCACACCCCAGACTTTCTAGCCACAGCCAAGAAATTCCGGTCGCTCTTTGATTCGTGCCACTAACATTGGCGACACATATCAAGCTGACTCACAGTTTGATTTCGGAATTCTCAAGCCTTAGCTGACTCGCGTTGTAATTGCGCTAGTACTCAGAAGAGGAGGCCCAGCTTCACTCATAAGGCGATAAGTGACGCCGTGTGCCGTCCCAAGATAACACAAGCCTTGCGTATGTGCGGTATATCAGGACGGCGCGCTGCTAGAATCAGATTTATCCACAAATTGTGGGAACAAACACCAAGGTTTATATAACCGCAACCACCTTTCGCTATAACCAGGATGGTAATGGAAATGCAAATGGGAGAAAAGAGGACGTTCACGTTCGTGGCATATGACATAACCGGAAGTGGCACAACCGACAAAGCAAGAGCACATTTGATGAAAAATCGGGTAAGATCTAAGCAGAAGGCGAATCTAAAATGGAACTCAACGAAGCAATCCTTGCCATTTCGGTGGATGCATCCGAGAAGAAGGTCCACTGCAAAGCACGTGCATTCAAGCAATTTGGCACCAGGACCAAAAGGTTCAATTTTTCACCGTGTCACAGCTGTCGATTTTACAGTGAGCAACGCTTGGCCCGCTCCGATGAGCTCGGCACAATCCCGAGGCATCGATTGCGGACATTGGACTAGCAAGGCTCTAGTTAGGGATCCTCAGCGTTGTTCTCCGACCACAGGCTCAGATATCGAGGCTCGTCAGGTGGTGCTCATTGAACTCAACAAACAGGCTGAACCGCCTAGTACAGGCGGGCCTGACGAGCACGGCAATATCATATCAAAGATGGACGGGGATAAGCTTGAGCATGGAGGTGGCCAACTTCGTCCCGACATCAAGACACAAGGTGTCTGCCTTCAAGGCAATCCTGAATCTGATATTCAGGTTTCAGATAGGCCGAGGCGAAGAGATATACTGCGACGAAAAACCATGATGCCTCCAGAACCAGCACTGGATCCCATTTGTATGCGCTCGAGCACTGCACTTTTGCATCTGACAAAGTCGGTGCAGCGAATTCGTGTTCATTTGGTACCTTCCGATGCTTATTTAGTTCGGTATTTTGCTGCAAATTCGCGGATTTTGCTTGGCTTGGACAAGTACCCGGACATTGAATTGCAACACGACCTGGTATCGGAGCTCCTTTTGCCGTTCGCAACGTCAACGTCGTGGGGCTTTGAGACAATGGTATTGCTCCAGAGTGCATACCACTATCGACACCGTATGCAATTATGTGAACGAGGTACAGTATATGCCGACGAGTACCATTTTGCTGCACGCCAAAATGTAGTTCTTGCACAAACAAGGTCAAGAATATCTGCTTTAGCTAATTGCGGGGAGTCAACGGATGACGATGTGGTAACCTTTTTCTTCGTAGCACTTTCTGAGTACTGCTCAGGTGACCGCGAAATTGGCAAAATGCACTTCCAAGCTTGGGAAAATTATTGCCAAATGAGAAGAAGTTTTGGAGTGCGACCGTGTGGGTTGGAATGCAAGAAATTAGTATGGTGGTGTTTGTCAATCTTGGTGGATGACGACGTTGCAGTTGAGTCGATCATCAAGGCTTCGACAAGAGACATAGTGAGGGCAAATCCTGCGGAGCTATTTAAATACGCCAGCGCTAATGGATGAGCTCAAGGAGTAGAATTTCTCTCCACACAAGCGGAACTTAATTCGTAAAGTGACAAGTTGACAATGGAGGGATTCCGTAAATTGATCTCAGTAACTTGAGGCTGTTTCTTCACAGCCTACTGAAGGATATGGTCGAAGACATAGACAACATAATCGTGTAAGCAACCGACTGGGCGTAAATCATTAAGCTCGAGTGGCAGTTCGAAATCTTAGTCGGCTTGCGGTAGGCATGGTCCCCCTGGAGGGACCAACCATTCTGCATGATTCCTCAAAGAGCATCCTTGAACAAATCTTCCAATATTTTTCGAAGCTCAATAAGTCTTCTGATGATTTGGGAGTCGAAGTTATTTACTGACCCGAAGCACGATCCGCCAAGCCATTAACGTCCGCTCTCCATTTCTCTGTGGATTCACGCCAAACCAAAAGGCTAGACAGCTATCCAGGTAGGCAACCTATTTTAGAGTATTTATTGACCATAGCAGTATGTTATCTACGATTCAGCTCAGCCAACCATTGCTACAAAGCCTGCATACTCAAGGCAAGTACATCTGGTCCTCTGTAATCCTTCGGATGATTTCGACCACTGAACCAGGTTGGCTTAGAAATGGGCTGTGACCTGATTTTAGGCTTTCTGTTGTCTTGATGCCACAGCTGTTGACCATAATTTTCTGAAATTCATGTGGCAGTGCCTGGTCATCCTCACAGAAAATGTATGTGCTTGGAATGTCCCTCCAGGCCGCGTGTTTCAAAAGACTATGAGAAGTTTGGTTGCTCATAACACCAATTCGGCTGGCAGCATCCCTTGCAATCTCGCGATCCAAGTCCTGATAAAATCGTGGAATGGGATCTGGGAAAGTAGATGTCATCCCGTCTCTACTCATTTCCACCCACGGTGCAGATTGTCCGGTACAACCCCACAATGATTGCCCCTCCGATAACACAAGAGCACAGCAGAAAATTAGATGGGAGATGCCATTCTTATTTGCTGTTTTGGCCAACCCTTTGGCGGCATCGCAGCGCACAATACCCCATAAGAGTGTAGGAACAGATGAACATCCTTTCCAGCAGCAATAATTGGCTTGATGACATCTCTAAGTGCTTCTGAGTCCAGGCTATGGTCATTGAGGGGAGTTTCCGCGTTGACAGAAGGTACGCGGATACTGTAAGTTTCGTGACCGAGATAGTGGAGTTTCGAGGTGACAAGTTCGAAGCACTCTGGATAGTGCCATGCATCGTGGACAAAATGAGGCTTGGTTTGGGATCCATGGCTTCCTGCTCCTTGTCGAGTGTCTAGCAAGCTGAAGATCTCACTGCATATTTATATTCTCCCTGATGGACTGCTCTGTACTAGTTTAAGGCCACAATGGGCTAGCACGCCGCTGTTCTGCTTTACAGGAAACTGTACTCTGGAGTTATGTTTGTGAATGCAACAGAAATCTTTCCAAATCGTGAGTTAGTGTCTTATTCATCTATCAACTTTTGAACAAAATCACCCGTATTTCGTAAAAAAGGAAGTGTCGGGCTGCAGCTAAATTGGGTCGAAGAGTCCACCAGGTTACATTGAGATTATGCCCCATACTGTGTAGTTGCCCCTTAACCAAATTTCTCAGGTTGAGTCGAAAGAAAATTCAAAGACCGGTAAGAAAAATGAGACCAGCGTAGCACACCATCGGATACGACATTCCCTGTGGCACCAGAAAATTGAACGAGGTGGACGGATGATGGACTCTATGGCGTATTCTGATTTGGAGTGGATACTTGAGGGGCTAAGTCGGTTTCGAACCGACTTCGAAGGCCAGTAAGCGCATCCTTGAGCTTCTCTAAATGTGGTAAGTACGAACAGCACTGGCACTCTTGAGTAAAGTGCCCTTTTTATGTAGCAGTGGAGGTAGTCATAGTCTTAGCGTGGGAGTTAAGCTTGTATGCAGGAGCCTTCCAACATCAAGTAGTATTTTAACATTTATAAAAGCCTCGAAGAACCACCATTTGCATTGCCATTTCGTGCTAAAACTGGTACTCGCACTTCTTGTATTACGCATCTATACTTCTTTAGATCGGTTGACTTATAGTTCCGAATCCATGCCTCAATCCTGGGTCTTTACTCTTCTCGCATGTTCTCTCGCCCTAGCTACAGCAACACGTTTCAACGTCACTCAATATGCAAAACGTCAGAACGATGGGTGCACAGATCCTGAATTTACGGCAGAACGTTTCATTTCTTCGGGAGCAAACGATCTCCTCCAGAAATCTGTGGATGTTGTAGGGGCTCTGGGTAAGTCTGTTCAATTCTACAATCAGTACATCTATTTCTCACAGCCTTTAGACTCCGAATTCCCGAGGAAACTTGTCAGGGCTCTTACGGGACAAGATAATTTCGATTGTAGATCATTCAATGACCAATGCATCGTACCAAAAGGCTCAAGCGGAAATATTTGTGATACAATTATTCGAGGGGATCTGGTTCCTGATATCACTTCTAAAGACCAAGTTGATGCTGGTGAGTCAGCCTTTCTTTGATATTAGGACCCAAACCCGCCGAGAGACATGCTTCGGGTGCCACATACGTCTACGTTGACTGACATGCTTCGAAGCCGTGCTGGTTATCCAGTCTTACAAAAACATGCATGATTTTCTCAGCACCTCTTCAAGTGCAGTACAAACTGCTGCGGACGAAGTGCTAACTTCGTAAGACGTGTATTCATGCAACCCATTTTAGTGATGTTGACGATTCTTTTAGTGGCTTCCTTGGAGTCATGAGAGAGGACACAAGGCCGGTGGATTTAGCTTTCAATCAGGTTATCCTCAAGGTAGTTGAGATTGGTATGATAGTTCCCGCTCTTGCACTCGGTGTATTAACACTCTTTAAGGAATTTCATTCATACCCATTGGTGGGATACAAACTGTGTTAGCCAAAGCAGCAGTCAAGACATTCAAAAAACTAGCAGAGGTGGTGTCATTCCTCTACCGTCTTGGCTTTACTCTACTAATCAAAAATCACGTAGCGAGTTGTACGAGCTGATAGAGAAAGCCAGCAGATAGATGTACCGAGTACTGAGCAACTAGAAGCACAACTTCTAGCTCTTGTTCCGTTATTCCAGGATGGCATCCACGATCAGAACACCCAGATTTTTTCCGAGGGAAACGATGGTGATGCTACTCTAAACAGCCAATTCCTCTGGAACCAAGACGGAGTACAGATCGAAAACAAAATGACTCGAGATGATATAAATGCTAATATGATCCAGAGCATGGTATGTACTCTACTTCGAACCGCGGGTGATACTAAAACAAGATTACTAACGATTTCCAGAAGAATTACATGCTTGCAAGCTTCACTGGGAGCCTTGGTGCTTGTAAGTCCAGGAAGCTCTTTATCTTTGTCTCAACTACTGACAGAGTAAAAGTCATCATGACGACCCCGGGTGATGTGGCAGGTGGTATTGCTCTCTGTGGTCAACAACCCTTTCAACTGAAGGCGGGAGGTAATACTTGCCACCAATGGTTCTATCCAACGAAAAATCTCGCTGGCAGTTTCGATGATGGCAGTGCAAATACAATGAAAAATCTAGAGGGCTTTACCGGCAACCCCATCTACGGTGTCGGCTTCAATGAGATGATTAACAATGCCATACAATGTGCAGATCAGGGGGGAAATTTCTCCAGCATCAACCTGGAGTCATTCTTCGAAGGGGATCGAACGGTCCCAACTTGTCTATTTGGTTATCCTCGGATAGTTAATTGACACATTCATTAAGAGCATAGATTACTCGCTGTACTGAGGATAGCGGGCAAGGATCATGGCGCTGAGTACCATCACTTGTGCTTATGCCAGATGGAAGAATATCTATCATAAACCAAAGATAATTTTCACTTTTAAGCATGACAAACCTTAGAGGGTGGCCTCAACAATAATAAGCGCCGGAAAAAGGTTTCCTGCGGCAAGTTCACCCTCCTTTATATGAATAGATTTGAGGTATTTATCTCCATCCAAAGCTGCTGTCCATCGCCGTCACTTGTGCTGGGAAACCATAGAAAGTTCAATAACTGGTCCTTCAAAGCTCCCCAGCTCATGATTTGCATCCTATGCACGAACCGTTCGAGAACATTGATGTACCATTCTTTGCACCCTTCTTTTTTTCCTTCTCCTTCATCATTCGCGGTAGAAGCTAGTGCGCCCATGAAGATCACCCATAATAGAAGTGGAGAGGAGTCGTGCCATCTGTTTCTGAGAAGATTGTTGGTGTGGACAAGGCCGTGCTTGAGCTGGCGTGCGAGCGTTCCAAAGGGAGCTCTACTGTGAGGTACAGGGAAGATAGCAATCAGGCTGTAGATGACGCTAGCTGCCCAACATGCTTGTTGTAGAACAACGATATCTTCTTTGGAACCTTTAACGTCATCATCCAGCCCCGGGCTCCATGACAGCAAACTATGCTGTACGAAGTTACGCTGGTCAGCTAGAGCGCCTAAATCCTGCGCTTGTGAACGGCCCGTTATATAATCATCGACTGCTATCGAATAGGTTGACAGATTATGTAAAGTAAGAAAGAGTGATTGTGCGACATCCGAGGGAAGAAGGTCGTAAAGGGCTCGAAAACCTGTTCCTAGCTGACGTAGCGGATGGACTTCCCTGCTTACAGCGTCTAATACATGTTGTGGTGAGATTTGTAGAGGGATGAAGGGGTAGACAGGCTTTCGTAGGTGTCGAGAGGCCAGAAGTAAATCCCCACTATAGGAACCCGGTTAGTGATGTGACATGAAAGGACTAGAGTGTTACGGATATCTTCCGGGTCTCCTTACTAGCTTAACATTGCTGCAAGTCCAGGAAACTTAATTGCGCCTAAACCTCCTCTCATAGACACTATGTTCGACAAAGCCTGTAGATGGACATCAACCGGGTCTAAACGTCCCGCATAGATATCCAGAAGCTGCATTGAATTTAGGGGCCCCTGCGAAGGCGATTGAAGGTTGTCGGTGTCATCCTTGGCAGCACGTCCATGGAATGCTAATGTCTGGACTGCAAAAAGTATCTCGTCGGAATATCGCTTTTCCACATCGTTTAAACGTCTATTCAATCCTCGGACAAGCTCTGAGTAGCAGTAACCATACGCTCTCTGATTGATTGGGTTTAGACCGCCTTTAGTGGTGGACGCTCTCGCCAAATAGGAGAAGCAAAGCATATGAAACAGAACATCATCATTCATGTATCGGGATATCCATTGCTGTTTAATACTTTGCTCCTGTCGGTGTGGGTTCGGTAGAAGTATAATTTGGAGGAAGCGATTGACTAATGGAAGGATATTAGGATCAGTGGTGTGGAACGCCGATCAATTGGCACATTTTCCTAGCTTACCTTCACTAACGATTGGCATAGCAACCTCCTTTGCCAGCCGAGAGGGGTATGTGGTAAAAGGGTCCACATCCGAAAACTGGACACTGGAGACGCGGACCGACTGAAAAATAGCGGTACCCGCGGTTCGTAAAGGCAGTTCTTGTCCAGACTCTACAAAACCATCTCCCGGACTCTCGCCGTCGTCATTCGTCGAACGAGATTCGGCTTTGCTGCTGGCAGGGTCATCGGCGAACCGTGCACGACGTTGCTCTTTATTGTACCCCGGCTCTCTTGTGCTTTGATGGGGACCCGTCCCCTGGTTGCGCCTTTTCCTGATCTTGGCCCATGAAGCCTGCGAGGCATGTGCGTGGATTGCTGCTCTAGATTCATGTCTCGCTTGCTTGAGGTCTGGGCGTGCAGTGATAAATCTCAATTTTACCTGGGGCCCGCCGCAGTAAGGTTCGGGGGGATTATCTTCGCTCGGGTCTGGCATCTTGATTTCGTCCGAAAAGAGTACTAGCAGCCGGTTGGGAGCCTGTCACGCAGAGGCGTTGAGGGGAACACTTCTGTTTTCCCTGCAGCAGTGCATGACGTTCGAACACTGACGTAAGGATAACCGTCGACCTGTCTCACCGACCTGGATCTTGAACGAACGGTTGTACAATAAAAAAGACTAATGATGAGGGGTTTCACTACGGTGGAGGAAGCCACCATTAACCGAGCGAGTTCTTATCGACACGTGATATCTGATGCTCCCAATCTACTGCAAGGTGATACTTTTGGCAGTTGGTCTTTTGATTGCAAGTAATGATTCGCAGTAGGGCGCCATCATCTCAGCTGGACATTCCCATACCCTTCTAGTACATCTACATATTATCTCTAACATAATGCATGCCATACTGAATCCTGGTACTACATCTTCGCCTTGCTATACGTTCAACCTTTGAATGTACATTTGTCGATGACTTCGTAACAGCGAATAACCTGCAGCTGCTTATACGTTTAGGGTTCTGTAGCAAGATATTACTTGTTGTGTCATCATGAGATATATGTTGTAGAAGTCGAGCTTCTAAGATCGAGCATATGCTGGTAATGTCCACCTGCGGAAACTAGTGACTTATAACCTCTTGTGCTCTGAGACAATTTGCCAGACTAGTACTATAAATCTTCTCATGCCCGACCCTTCAAACATGTTGTTTTTATCCTACAGGAATCGACAGATGCGTTATATTCCCGCAAGATCTGTCTATCCGCCAGTATTAAGCAAGAGCAGTTAATCATACACATCTTCGTTATGGCACAGCCTGAAGAAAATGGCATAATTTTGTCTGACAGGACCAATTCATCTCTCTTGACTAAGACTACAAAGGTACAGGAAACATACTTGACTCAACCTCTGCTTTTGAGCAAGCATATAATAATAGGCCCATAGTTCAAGCGAGAGAAAAATCGTCTAGCTCAAAAAGCCTATCAGGATCGCAAAAAAATAAGGACCCAAGTGCTCGAAAGTAAATGGGCACAACTTCAGCGATCACATGTAGCGTTACACCAAGCCTGGTCCGAAGGAATGAGAGAAATTGAGCGGCTTCAATTTCACGTCGAGGAATTACTCCAGAGCATTAAGACCCTGAGGGAGTCACAGGAGCTGTACACGTACCAGCCGTCGTCACAAATATCTTCCCTTTCCTGGGTGTATGGGTTATCAGAGCACAAAGAGCATTGCCGTCAAAATGTACAGCAGCCAGCAGTAGACCTCATGCAATGGAGATTTTTTTTGAAGGAATGGTTTTCCGAATTCCCGGAACACCTGTCCGGGAAAGACTCTACCCAAGGTATATTATTGTGTTAGAAGGTAAGCACAATCTGGACAATTTCCGGAGCGGTTAACTAATGCTTCCAGCCTTTTTGTTACTACCTGTTCTCAAACCATGTAAATTTGACCTCCTAGTCCAACAGAAAGTGTATTGCTAGCGGAGTCATTGGAAGAGAGATATTCTTCACTACTGTCAACCATCACAGACGTTTTGATCGTCAACACCCACCCAATAAATTTGAGTTCCTCCATCTCGGTACAAAGCTGTTCAATTGAATTTTCTAACCCCGGTCACTAAAATGACGTTGAAGATTATGTCTTCTCATGTGACAATGCGATCAATTTTGCCATCCTCATTTGCGCTTGCAATAAAGTCAGGGGGTCAAGCGCGACATTAGCGCGGCTGGGTCCTGCCGACATTCATTCAGCCTTTGTGTGTTCTGTGATATGAACAACCTTGGTATCATAGAGGATTTGATCTTTCCTAGAATGACAGAACCATGTTTATATGGTTATTTAAGATTGTGCATATCATCAAAGCGACACAACCGAGTTGTACGGATGATAGAGGTGCAGCAATAGGATCATCGGGTGGAACGATCCATGCTGAGGTCGGAGTCTGTTTTGGCGCAGTCTCTTGCATAGGGTCTTTCGATGGCGCCATCAGATCATGGAGATAAATGAAGTGATTTTTCCTCCTATACATCACCTCTTAGTGGCCTCCATGAAAATGACCATTTTCTCCTCTGATAAGCTTGTACTAAAGCTTGGAAAATCGAGTGTTGTCCTTGTCCAAGGCTCAGAAGCGGGTCTCTCTACCCTTGGCAGCCGATGGATGGAGAACTATCTCGTTTGAGAGGATGTTTTGGTAATCAGATTGAGTTATATGACGATTAATGGGGACTTCCGACTGTAAATGCCATGAAGCTAGCCCAGGACTTATATGATTGGGCCCGACTGCTTGCCAGTCTTGCATCATGATTAAAACTCTTGCCGGGCACTGCTGCCACTTGCGGTAAACATATCACCTTTAGCTTAAAGTACAAAACCACTGTCACATTACCCAGGGTTGTTGGGACTTGTATGTTGTATGGTCGCACCACCAAGGATCGCCACTAAAAACCGGTCCTGTGATTTGGTATATTATATAAGTAAACGAATGGAGAAAAGCCCTAGCTTTAAGGACTCTACCTCGTCAGAGATAGAGATAGAACGGAACGTCTAGTTCACATCTTGGTCACGGAGATAATCTTCAAGAGAAGACACGTGTCCTTAGTATCGGCTACAGCCGACGCCAGCAACATGGTCACCCGGAAATTCGCCCGCACACCTCGACGCAGGCGTCTACCGCCACCGAATGCCAAGGTTGTCTAAAATCAGGCTCTGCGACGCATACGGTGAGTAACTCGGACCGAGAATCCCCGGCTGTTGCAACTTCAGCATGTCTAAGACGGCGATGGCGATCACGCAAGTGACAGTGAAGACCACGAAAACACCATGGAGGACTGCTTGTTCTGGTAAGAAACTCAAGGCGACAATTAATCAACGAAACAAGTCTACAAGGAGGCTCAAAAAGTATTGAACCAGTTGAAGGAGGAACAGCAACATGCAAAAAACTGGAGCAACGAGATCAAGGGTTGAATTCTGTTTGCTCTAAGAGCAAATGAACGCCCTATTAGGCTGAGCTGTCCTTCATATAGCCATGGGACATCGCAGCAGATCTAAGCGGGCAAAACAACACGCAGGCACCCATAATGATACCGCCACCAGCGTCGACAACCCCTCAGGATGCCTTTCTATCCTCACGGCCACAGCGGATACGTTTTACTGCACGACTGACACTCCTGGAAGAGCAAATGGGGACATAGCTAGACCTCACCAGGTGTTAGCATGGCGATCTTGAAGAAAGAGATCTACTCCAGTAGGATAAAGTAACTGGCGCTGTCAGGTGGTGTCCAGAGAAGCGAAAAACGCGACTTCTCTTAGACTCTTATGCATGTACGAGAACCGAAAAACAAACAATCAGGCGACCATCAGGAACAAGTACAGCAACAGAGGGTTAAGGTATTGAGAGATAGACTTGATCTGAGTAAGCTGGATAATGTTACCTGCCCGGCAGTCTTGGATGAAAATGGAGAGAACCGGGAAGGAGCGGCAGAGATCCTCGGACAATAGAATAACGCAACGGTGGCGAAGATGGCATAGCTAAGCAAGAAACAGGTACCAAGAGTGCATAGGTCTATGACGGTATACCTCGGCAAAGGCAGCGACGCAAGACGCTTTCTGAGAGAGGATTGCTTTCCACGTTTTGCGGCCCTTTCCGGCCACGTGTGGATATTCGGACTACGGCCACCACCAGAGCATTTGTACCTAGCACTTTATGGCATGAGAAAAACTTACTGTCAAATCAAGGAATGTCTCCAGAGGAAGGGGCCTACCCTTGGTAGTCTAGATTCTAGAAGCAGGTAGGGCGCGCCGTTAAGCACCGCGTGCTAACGGGTTTTCCAGCATTCTCCGAAAATGGGATTACTGCCAAGGCAGTGGAAGCACTAAAAAAAAAAAAGTTGCCTGCAGATCGATCTCCACTCCTATCGACACTGGCTTGATCAATATCTGAAGATCTGCCTCCTCCTTTTTGATTCACTAAACCGCAACACCCAGTTTCAGGGCTCATCATTCAAAGCATGATAGTCAGCGCATGTGCTCTAACGAAATCATGACTAGAAATTTTACGATCATATTGGTTAATCAGCAACGCGAACTGGAGTTCGATGTCGAGTTCGCAACCGAACAGCCCAAACAACCGTCGTGCGTGCTGATGAGACAATAATGTTCAACGATTTAAAGTGCGTTTACACAGGAGAAGCGAGAAGCTTCATAGGACGACACATTATGCCACACTAGATCAGACAGCTTTGGATGCAATATAAATCTGGCCGGAGCCGAGTATTCTCTTGGTCTCTACGGCTGTCCTTGGATAGGGCTAAAGTTTCAACATCTCTAGAAAGATAACGCGGCGGCTAATATGAGTGACTTGCTTTGCAAATGTGGTCTTGTTCTTCCAAGACTATAGCAAATCTAGCTGCACACAAGGACTTCCCAGAAACCAGAGTAGATCCAGAACAACGAGTAACTCTAGTCCTACAGTACCGTTTGGCCCGGATATTTTGGGAGATCGGTCCGGCTCACGTGCTTGGAGCACGCTAGTAGCTCTTGGCTTCAACCCCTCTTCCTTCCGTGCTCCCATCCATGAGCAACACAACGTTATCTAAACGTCATCACATCTGTTCTTAGAGTACCAACAGCACAGAAGATAGCCACTTGGAGTCGAGCCTGCATGAGAGGGAAGTATAACCAACAAATGTCATGTCCCACAATCTTTTCAGATAACCACACGGCATTAAACTTTGTGAAATCAATCATGCTACGACCTAATGAGGAAAAGCCCTCGAAGCTCGAACAGAAACTGGAATACAGATTTGTCGATGCACTGCCAGGCTCTGAACAGGGAAGACGTGAGACCAAAACTGTAATTAGAGCTCATGCGTCACGCGCCTCATGGGCTAGGTATGGAATCAAAAGCCAGGTGGTTGGCAAGCCCCACAAGCATCCAAATTCCCGTGTGAACAATGCACAGCAGGGGTACATAAGGTTCGCCGCAGCCATGCGATACCCTGCTGATATCAGTTAATGACCTCATTAGACATCCTCGCGACAGCCTGCGAGCTAGTAATGCAGACGGTCCAGCCTTGTCAACCGCGAAGGCTGCACTAGGTAATGATCGCCGCGCAGATCAATCAATCGAGGTCAGCTCAGCAATGATCGGTGGACCCTACACGCTGTTGGGGCCGGGTAAGAAGGACCCCTTTGCTACATATCCCGGCCACAATTTGCCGGTGCCAATGTTGGATGCTCTTGAACATTGTGAGTGCTCAAACTAGACTAGAGCTTATAGCCATTATCGTTTTAGTGGCTTTAAGGGAACTCTGTCCACATGCAAGCAGCGAAAAGATCATAACTAACAGATTGTCTGCTACTAGCCTTTGAGACGGTTTGGGCAAACGTGTTAGTGCCTCGTGAGAACGGTCAGGATCTAGAGGCACTTAAGTCATCGTGGCGTAGGTGCAACATTCTGCATCCGCACGTCTTCCATACTTCGGTAACTGGAAGCTCTGGATTTGCGTTAGTCCTTTCTCCGGACAGACAGGTACGAAGGACTGTCATGGCAGCACGTGCAGAACAATACCAGTTGGCGCTTGAACGCACATCGGATGTCATTCGTTCATTTGACGGACATGTTTCAGAAGAGCTACTACTTTGCCTATGTGGGCTCTCAACCTATTCCGGTGACATTGCGCCGGCTGTTGCTCAACCTCACCCAATATCTCCACTTGCCACTGCTCAAAGCATCCATATGTTCGGCAACATCAAACTTATCCCTGAGCACCTGCGGGTATTGAGGTATCTGACTAATTTAAAGGGCGGCCTCCAAGCCGTGTTTGAATATGGAAACATGGACAACATCGAAATGTGAGTCGAAGGCCATCCCAACAAGAGAAAGACTTACACTCCTTCTTGAAGGGTTGATCTATTTGCCGCGTCGCGCACGGACGACAAACCTGCACTTAGGTGGGTACGTGGTCCGTCGAAATTGTACACTCCTGTACAAACCGACCTCGAGCCTAGCCAAACACTAGGGCATAGGCTGCGTATCATCTCGGAGGTAGACGACGACCTGCATGGTCTGTTCGTCTTGGCTTTCAAGGCGACACGGGCCCTCGAGTACTACACTCCCGGCTCAACCGACTTGAGACTTTTCCGCAGTCTAGTCATTGCACGCAATGAAACCCAACATGGTCTTTTGAGTCTCAAGAGACTCTCCGATACGGATGGTTTGACAGAGCGGGGCATCCTGTTCGAGGTGTGCCGGCTGTCAGGCCTCATATATAACGATCTCGTTCTTTATCCATTACCCTACAGCACCGGAGTAAAGCCGAGACTAGCCCGACAGTTGTATGAGGTCCTTCAAACATCACACATGGGCGACCTCTGGAACTCGGATTTCCATGAGTTACTCATCTGGGCATGTTTCATGGGAGAGATTGCCGCACGTAGAACCAAAAACCACGGATGGTTCGTGACAACGCTGCTCGAGATAACGAGTATCAAAACCCTAGATAAAGAAGGCTTTATCGACTTGATGCAGAGTTTCTTGTGGTGGGACTACGTCTGCCTTCCTCCTGCGTTGTTTCTCTGGGAACACTTGCAAGAGGCAAGGAAGCGGACCGAATTCCGATGGACTAAATCAGGGAAGCGCGTCCGAAACACAGATAAAATCAGCAGCTTCTTAGGCACATTTTAGTGGGATGGCTGGGTGAGCTTTATCGATGTTAAGGCTGCCGTCGGCTAAAATACAGGTTGCTGCACTATGAGAGGTGGGAGCAACACATAGTGTAAAAATGGACGCTGATCACTTTGGAAGGTATAAGGAAGTTCATGTTTTGTATTTTAGACGCACTTTCCCCACTCTCACTCTCCCATAACCTACCACGTAGGTTTTCATGGAAAGTGCTAAGTGACGAACGTTACCTAATCAAACTATAGGGCAAATAAATTAACGTGAATTGGTAACGATTAAAGAGTTAAGGACAACCTAGCCTGAGCCATTCACATACCCTTCTGAAAGGTTCGATATCTGGGATATGAGTTAACTCAATCTGCTTTCTCGGCCTCTCGGGTTCAAGCCATAACCGCTCAAACATTTTTGTCCTTCAATGTTACAGTATGGAGGTAATTAAACTAATCAGTTCTCGAGAGGTGAATATGGGGCAGGTGAATTGTAGGCCGGTGGATTCTGGGCAGGTGGATTTTAGGCAGGTGGATTTTAGGCAGGTGGATTTTAGGCAGGTGGATTTTAGGCAGGTGGATTTTAGGCAGGCGGATTCTGGGCAGGTGGATTTTAGGCAGGTGGATTCTCCGCAGGTGGATTCTAAGCAGGTGGATTTAAAGCGATCACCCGCAACCCACAAGTGCTTAAACTATCAACAAAATCTATACCAATGCCGGATACGCGCTTATTGGAGCTACAACTTTCTTGCTTAATCTGATAGTGTACCGTTTACCAAAGAATACTGGTACAAAGACAATCTGAATCGGAGCCCCAAGGCGTGTTTAGAGGGCGGCGAACATATGTAAACCATTCTTTATAGTTCCTAGATTGTGCTCAACTGTTATTACCGTAGTTAACCTTGAATGAAGTCTTTCTTAGACAGAAATTCTGGAAACTCTGAGATTCCTCCGAATGAAAAGAAATCCCACAGATTGAAGTCCGATAATGTTAGCTGGTCGGTGAGATGGTACTGCTGCCTATCCCAAGATAGCCTATACGGCCGGGAAGGGGATGATCGTAGCGTAGATGGCTGGTAGGTGGGACATTCTTGTGACTTTCTCATGGTCTCAATATTCTGAAGTAGTTCTTTGATCTGCCAGTGAAGTCCTTCTATCACTTTAGCTCTTTGTTCAGAAACTTGGTGTAAGGCTTCGTGCGATCGCTGAAGCTGGGCCCATTCACGTTCAAGCACTTCAATCTTAACCTTTCGACGAGTGTAACAGGCTTTTTGTGCTAGACGATTTTTTTCCCGTCGGCGCTACTATCTGATTATTACATCGTTTCATATAAATCAGTTTAGAGTTTAGCATACTTTCTGTAATTCTATAGCCTTGGCTGCTAGGGATGGGTTGGTCTTATTCAACAGCATTATCGAATGTCCTCAGTAGGTGATATGACAGAAGGAAAAATAGGTTTGGCAGTGTCTGCACTAAATTCGGGAGTGAAAAATTACAGACTTATTCGTTTTCTGGTAGAATATCAGTAGTTTAGTTGAAAAGTCGTTGAATGCCCTGAAGAGCTCGAGTACGACCTTGAATACTTTATATCAGGATTTAACAGATTCAAATTCGATCATAGTCCTAACATCGCCTACTTGCCTGGCTAAATTCAACAATATGCACCTGGAAAATGTTCAGAAAATGTTAGGCTGTAAGACCTTGCACTTACTAGATTTAGGTGAGGCGCCACTACGATGCAGGGATCTACTCTCAGGTTGTACCTCTTGTAGGGACACAAGATATAACATCTCGCTTACAAGGGAAGTCTGGTCGCTGTAGGTAGAAGTCTGTTAGAAATCGAAAGGATGTCAACACGAGTGATCTTATATCCATGGACAACTATGTACTATCTGAATCAGGATAAATTGCATGATGTCAGACATAGCAGTAAGACTATCTTGTGGTTGGCGCCTCGATGCGTATCATCAGTTCGGATGTGATTGTCTAAAGTAAAACTGCCGAAAGCAGCGGCTTGCAGGAGAGTGTCGCGTTTTTTAGCAGCATACTACATCTCCCCAAATTCATGCTCGATTAAAACACATCCACTGCAAGCACAGGGTTCCCACTATCGACTTTCACTTACCAATAAAGAGGAAGTCTCGACGTTCATGTCGTTCTTAAGCATTTAACTAATGGTATGATCTATGATCGCATCTTTGATGTGGTATAGGCGCAATAGGTTTAAAAGGCAACATGAAAGGGCTTGAATTTAGACGTTCGGTTCTGATACTAATCATACATGCGATTAGAATCAAATGGCTGAGATAGCATGATCGCTGCTAGAGACAGATTACTGACTTACGCAGGAGGAATGGAAATAGGGATACTCAAAATACAGCTCTCTGGCAATAGCCCTCTGTTCCTTGTGTTTGGCGGAGTTCCTCGAAACGTCGTAGAGTTGGAGAATTGATGGGCCTGTATGACATGGGCGAGCAAGTGTCTATGTCCTCAGATTGTGTGATTGAAAACGGACGACACTAGGCTTGCAGAGAATCCTCTTACGACACCTGGCTCACTATCGCCCAACCGTGCTCTGGAGACAGTCTTAAGAAGCTGGCATACACGACGGAAAGAGGGGTTTGGCATTGACAAGCATTCTGTTTTACGCATGGTGAGATGCTGTGCGGGGCTGTGTGATTATCAAGGTAGGAAGCAGCTCAAACTGATGGCAGGAACTATCGAAATGGTTTCCGAGAAGAGTAACCACTCATAAAGGCAACCTCTCTGCCATTGCCGTTAATTATATGCAGTCCTAGTGACACGGTGGAATACTTTGTTTCTCGATAATCAACACTATAATTTCGCAGTACCTAATTATCTCAGTGCAGCGAAAACAAGATCGCCTGGTTTGGTACTATAATTCAGCTACATCACAGGCGCCCGATCTATAAATCGCTACGAGGGATTCCTGCAACGATTTTCATTTTAGAAGGCTCATTTAAACGCTTACTGATGATGAGATATGTCGTTCAACACTATGAAGACAATTGGTGTATGAAACAAGTTGGAATGGTTCTGGCAATTGCCTGGAACATTGGCTTGCTTAATTGATTAAGCAAGGAACTGTCGCACGTTACTAAATATCGTTTAGGCCCATACAATTACCCATATTCGACAGGCAAAGTGAGGTTTCTCTTCGGTGTCCAGCGGATGCAATGTTACTAAAAGTTATAGCTGACGTAGACGCTAAACACAGCAATACCGACGCCACTCAGAGTAATGGTTGGACCACTTTATTCATGTCACCTTGAAGAATGAATATATAAACGACTGGTTCTTCCTTGCAAGTCTCAATAAAAACCTCATTTCGTACATCCAAACATAATTAACCCAAACGCATACCTACACCACTGGTTCACTTTTGACATATCTGCCACGTTTCTATCAACAATGGTCCACCCTGCTACAGCGGCGAAAGATGCCCCACAAACCTTTGATTTTATTGTGGTCGGTGGCGGGACTGCTGGTTGCGTTGTTGCTTGCCGCTTAGCGGAAAATCCAAAAGTGTCTGTGCTCGTGATCGAGGCTGGTCAGAAGTATGTTGCCTAGCCCTTATACTACAAAGCTTCGAAAACTAAGTTCATAAGTAATACGGCCGAGATCCCGGAAATTACTACCCCAGCACGCGCATTTGAGTTGCGAGGTAGTCAGTGGGACTGGAAGTACAAAACTACCATGATCGAGCGTCCGGAATACACCAGAATTGAGCAACCCAACCCTCGTGGTAAGATACTAGGTGGTTCGAGCGCGGAAAACTACTATACCTGGGTCCGGGGCAGCGCAGCGACATTCGATGATTGGGCAGAGTATGGCACAGAGGAATGGAATTGGGCCAACACAAAAGACTACTTCAACAAGTCCGCGACGTACCACGACGACGAACATCTTTATCCAGCTGACCTTGTCAAGATCGGAAATCAGGGCGGCCCCTTACATATCTCGCATTCAGATATGATTCCCGAGGTCAAACCATTTCGCGATGCTCTACAAACAGCTTGGGTCAGCAAAGGCCAAGAACTGACAATGGACGTATATAACGGCGTGCAAAAGGGCCTGTTCCCATGTATCAACAGCATATACAAGGGTACTCGGTCGAACGCATCTGTCTTCGTTGAGGGGAAGGACAATGTGACAATCGTTTCCTCCACAATCTCAAAGGAGATTGTTTTTGAGGCAGATAAAGCTGTCGGGGTTACAGTCATAGACTCCAACCATCAAGAGTTTACTTTTCGCGCCACCTTCGAGGTCATTGTGTCCCAGGGTGTTTACGAATCCGCTAAATTGCTTATGTTATCTGGCATTGGACCGAAGATCGATCTGGAAGCCAAGGGTGTCGAAGTCCTTGTCGATTCTCAACATGTCGGTCAAAATCTACAGGATCACCCCATCATGGCCCATGTCTTCAAGATTAAAGATGGCTTTGGGCTTGACAGCCATCTACTCCGTGCTGGCCCTCAGAAGCTTGGTGCTGTCTCTGCTTATCGAAAAAATAAGACAGGCCCTTATAGTAGTGGTCTCCTTGAATTGGTAGCCTTTCCGAGGGCCGACAATTGGTTTGAAAAGTCGAAAGAATATCGGGAGTACAAGGCCCAAAATGGCGGTATTGACCCGTTCGGACCTGCTGGTCAACCCCATTTCGAGGTTGACTTTGTTGTAAGTACATCATTCCCACCTGTTGTGAGCGTGAGCTAACCTTTTACAGCCAATGTTCAGTGATTCTTTCCAGTGGCACTTCCCAGCCCCTGCGCAAGGTGACTACCTTACTGTCATCGTCGATCTCATGAGACCCTTATCCCGCAATGGCGAGGTTAAACTCAATTCGACCGATCCACATGAGCAGCCATATATAAACCTCAATTTCTTCTCGCACGAGCTTGACCTCATCGCTCTTCGTGAAGGGGTGCGTATGATCGACGACATTCTTATGAATGGTGATGGTATGAAGGATATCATTGAGGGTGATTATCCATGGCCAATGCCCCGTAACTCGGATGAGGCAATGATACGCCAAATTCTCGAGCGGGCCCAAACTGGGTACCACCCTTGCGGTACATGCCGCCTGGGCAAGGATATTAACCAGGGTGTTGTGGATCCTAAGCTGCAAGTCTATGGTGTGAGCAACCTTCGTGTCATCGACGCATCGATTTTCCCCATAATCCCAGATTGTAGGATCCAGAACGATGTTTATATGGTTGCTGAGAAGGGAGCGGATATTATCAAAGCTAAGTATCCCGAGCTATACAAATGAGTTCGAGGCACAGCGAGTACATCATCAAATGAGGAGCTATAAGCATTTCAAATCCGAGACATGTTGTGCTACCTTTGGTAGTATAAGAGTCATTATTTCGAGCCAGCGAGCGAAAGACGCGACGAGAACTAAGCCTTAAGTACCACTCATGCTTTTCACCAGCTATCCATATCTAGAATCACAACTGCATCACCTCGTCATCGATGAAATTATCAGTATCACTTATAGGTTGGTGGCGAAGTGCTTGCCAAAGCATAGACTACTTGCCTGCCACGTCGCTTCTTTCACATCTTGATCAACCATAACCAGATAATCACAAGTGCTCCTTACATGTGCAATATAGGTCAAAGTAGTCTGTCATCACAGGGAGCACGAGGAAAAGGAAATCTCGCAAAGGTTTTTGGGCGTCGCCACTGGCGATAGCCGCAACATCCCTCACTGCACTAGACGGCCGAGTGGAAACCGAAGGGATTACGTCGCCCTTTAACACCAGCATCTTCTAAGACGGGGCAATGGATCCGTAGAGAGACCGAGGAGTGGGGAAATAATGGCTAAGAACCTTACGACAACCTGGAAGGTTAAACACGACCTCGAGAGTGGTAGGCTTAAGCATTATACTGGGATCGCCACGGGGACTATCTAAGAGGCTAGACACGACAGGATACCTAAGATTTCGACTAGCGTAAAGAGCATTTCGGATAGTAAAGAATCTCAATCCGGTAAAAGTCTACGATTCAAGAAACCCTACTGCCGGAAGAAGCGGTTCCAATCGTCCAACATAGTTACCACTGACTCTCATCTTAGCCGTATGCTGTTGTGCACGCAGCAGCGCCAGAATTAAGCATCCATGGACCCATGTTTAGTCCCCTCTCCTACCGATTAGTTTCTCGGTCGCGTAAACAATTCGAGTTGCTTACTCATCCCTAGCGTTCCTAACGTTTTAGAGCCCGATTCACCGCAAAGGGTGATGGCGATAATAGCCAAATACTTCCTATAGTGGAGGTAAATTCTCATGTCGAGATACTCGTAGCTGGAGAGGTACCAACTTAGTCTTGGTGGTCATCTCAGGAACGGGTTAGGTATCGCCCTCTAGAATATCAGGCCGGTTACCAGTCTGAAGAGGAGGGCAGGCGGAAAATGGGTTCAGTAGTCTTCGATTTGCAATTCTCTGCCGAACCGGTCTGGAAAGGAGGGTGCTCATTTCTCACAGGTGTCAGGGACGCGGGATTTGTGGCGATTTTGCACATACACCGCTCCTTCACACTTGGGGAGTTGACTCCCGGCCAAGGTCATTGCGCCCTGGTGCCGAAAGGAGGCTAGAACATTACATAACATTCAGGAGACGGGAATGCCCAGTATGACAGGCTGCAAGGACAACCTGAAACCACTCAGCCTTTTATCGTGGATGCTTATCCATCCGCTCGTCGCGTGCTTCGCGTGCAGTCCGTCTGTACTGTATGAGATTGTGAGATTGAAACACCATATTTTGTCTTCAACCTTCAGTGCTCCGGGCAAAAAGAACCTGCTCTTGGAAGCCTATGGCGCACGTGACAGCGAGCTTAGGCAGTACGTATTATTATATTGCAAACAGGGTAAATTCGGAGCCAAGGAGGGATCTGTTGGGTATTATCTCTACTCACAGGAGGTGGTTCGGTGAATACATCACTACTGCGAGTTGCCGTCCTACGCCATATGCTTGGTTGTAGAATCTCGACATCGTCTCAAGCTAACAACCAGCCAGGCAACCTTAATTTGATGTGGTTAACACCCTGACCTCGTACTTCTCAACCATCTTCTCTATACTTTCTACCTACGCCTCCCCTGGCCAGAGGCAGTCCTACTGCAGCCCGAGTTGAGGTAAGTACGCTCTGCCGCATCCTTGGCCGTATCTTTTGGCATTGCTACTTCTCGTTTTGTTTTACCTGATTGGAGGACCCTACCAGTGGCCAAGATCGTTTGTACGACATGGGTCGTACCATCGTGGCACCCCGGGAACTTTATGCCCCAGCTCACGGTCTCGAAGGAGTGCATCATCCGGAACACCGAGGTCAAGATTCGAAACTCGCCAGGCTTAAAGTCGGTAAAACTTTCTGCGTTGTGGATTATCACGGCATTAAGCCTCACGGCCTTTGAATGTAGAGTCACAATCTGGTTATAACGAGCAACTTGGTCAGCACTACAATTTCCAGTCCGGCCATAGCGATCTATTTACCAGTGTATAAGACTAACACTCAAACTAATCAAGCCAGCCTTGGTCATCAGCATTGAATTCAGATTCACAATGGCCTCGAAATCTATCCTGCTGCTTGGGGGTACAGTTCTGCAACATGATCAGTCTGGCCAGATTCAGGTGCTCCAAAAAACGGACATCCTTATACGAGGCCAGAAAATCGCCAAGATTGGGCGAGGGTTACAGTCGCAGTTGTCTGGTGAGGATGTCGAGATTTTGGATTGCACTGATCAGATTGTGACGCCTGGGTTTATCGACACGCATCATCATTGCTGGCAGACACAGCTTAGGGGCCGGTACTCAGATGATACATTGCTCGACTACCTGACTCCTGGTAAGGACTTGCGCATTCGACTTACCCTTCCCATATTCTCGTACCCCAATGTCATATCTCTGTAGATGTGCTCTGCGCTAATCAGACTCAACAGGCATGATGCAAAGCTATAACTTCAGCCCTGAAGACATCTTCTGGGGTCAGTTGAGCGGCGGGCTTGAATGTATCGATGCGGGAACAACATTCATTGTGGACCACATGCACGCTAGCTACAGCCCTGACCATGGTCAGTATCAGTATTTCCATTATCACCCAAGGCCACCGCGATCACGGCCTGCTTCAGCCGGCTCACTTTTGGGATGCTTGCAGAATTCCTTTGAATGCTGACTTTTCGGCAGCGACTCGTGCATTAGAGGCTAGCGAGACGTCTGGACTTCGCTCTATCTACGCGTATGCTATTCCGTTTCGACTGCGCCGCTGGACAAAAACAGTCGCTGAAGTTGAAGAAGACTTGTTGCCTGAATGGGCCCTGAATCAAATCGAAGATCTGGCTAAGGCAGGTCCGCGTGCGGATGGCCGTATTCATATCGGCTTAGCATTCGACTTCTACTTTCTCCCTCAGGAGGTGCTCAAGAGTGTGTTCCACAGAGCTCGCACGGCGGGCGTGAAACTTATCACCTCTCATGCAGCGAACAATGCAGTCCTTGGTAAGCAATGATGCAACCCCAGAAGCAAACGCGGCTACCCTCCCTCCCTTCCCCTTACCCCCAGTTCTATCCTTACCCTCTCCTAATCACCCCTGCTCTCAATAGGCTCACAGTCGGTGGCCAAGATTCTCAAGGAATCTGGCCTTATCGGTCCTGACATTATTATCAGCCACGGTAATAACTATTCGGATGAAGACTACGAGATCTTTACCCATGCCGGCGTTCACATAAGCAGCACACCCGATACGGAATGTCAGATGGGGATGGGCTGGCCTGTGGCCCTGCGCCCGGACGTCCAAGGTACAATAGGTGTCGACAGCTCAGCATTGACCAGTACAAGTCTCCTGCATCAGGCGCGTGCTTTATTGCAGATGGCGCGGCAACAGACAAACCAGGCCTTGCTTGACCGAGGTCGCTTCCCCAAAACCCTCCGCAGCAGCACCAACGAAGTCTTCAACATGATGACAATTTCAGGTGCACGCGCTGTGGGCCTTGCGGATCAGATCGGCTCCATTGCCGAAGGCAAATTGGCTGATCTTCTTGTTTTTGACACCAGATCATCAAATATGGTGCCGGCGGCAAAATGGGATCCGGTGGCGGCTGTGGTGCGCCATAGCGATGTCAGAGACCTCAGGACCGTTATCGTTGATGGTATCGTGCGCAAGAAAGACGGCAAGTTGCTTCCGGTTCGGCTCGGCGACGGACCCTCGCTCTCCTGGGAGGACGTCGCGGCCAAGGTGAATACCAGTTATGACTCAATAGAGGAAAGAGCTGCGCAGACCAGTATACCAGTTGGCAGGAAAGCACTCGTAGATGCATGGCATATAGATGAGAGCAAGCTAGAGACCGTGGTCTAGAAAGTTGTGAGTAGGCGCATATAATTGAAATCTTGCCTTTTGTGGAGTCCATGGACATTGTGCGCACATCGCTCGTAAAACGAGACCCTAGCGGGCTTACACAGACGAGCGATGATGCCTATTTTAGCTACATCGCGAGGACCCACAGGATCCGATTTGTTATGTGGTTCCAAGTCAGGTGGTGTTAAAAGGCACTGCATGGCGTGATATTCGTGAAGGGGGCCAGTCGAGACGAGTGAATGGTTGACATAAGGGGAGTTATCAAGTACGAAGATGTAAGCGTCTATTATGGAAGGTGATGAGCGTACAACGCGTATCTGAGGTAGCCATAGGAATCATTATGTTCAGGCAGAAGTGGAAGATTCTTCTGCACTCTACGGTGAGATCACTGTAAAACGAGAATCGAAACCACGTAGCATTTGTCTATCCAGTGATTTCTATACTATCCAGCGACCCATTGATCGCTTCACTAAAGAGGCCTGATCAAGTGTTTAGGGTTGGATACGTCATTCGCTTTGAAGAAGCTCTCCATCGAGTGCGGCTGCACGTTAGGATACCGTTTATTGTGTATGGGCTCCTTAAGCAGGGTTTGCCCATTGAGGATATAATACTGATAGAACCTAAAATGGGTGCATTAGCAACCGTGGTGAGCACGAAACGGAGAAGTAACAAGGCGGAGCGTTGTCGACAAACGAAAAGTCCACTTACCATGTCATGTACAACCATTTGTTCTGACCAACATACTTCTGTTTCTCAGCTTGCATGAAATCGTACAGTTCAGTTATAGTGCCTCGAGATACCAATTTGGGGACTCTGCCGTAGACTTTCTCATACAGTTGTGCAATTTCGCGGGTTGACTTTTTATCGCCCCGGACTAAGGAGGATGGTGGACCAATTAGCACAAAACGGCTACAACAGGACAACCAAGCGGGCCAGGGAGCAGGTGAACATGAATACTGACATCTGAGAATTCCTACTGCACTGGGGTCGAGGACTGTTGCGACCGTGTAGGCGGCAGCATCGTCAAAGGTTGTCAGGTCCCAGGGTTCGTCGCCGTTGCCCCAGAAGGTGAACGCCGTTGTTTCTGGATCCCAGACATTCATATAGCCTAAGAAGGTTTCCACGAAGCAACCAATGTAGATATGCACGCCCTTGGTGCGCTTGCCTTGCAGGTACGCCTTTACTTTGAGCATGCAGTCTTTACCTTCGTGTTGGCCAAGAGAGAGGCTATCGTACTCTAGCGTCCAATCGGACGCAAAATAACGCTCGACACCCAACTCCTCACACGCATCAATGAGGTATTTCTGACCATCATACATGACTGTAGAGCTCCGTCAGCTCCACCAACGAATGAAAACAGAGATTCCTGGAGTTCATACCATCGTCGTAACCTTGATACGCGCAAATCACTACCGAGGCGCCTCTGATAGCCTCCCGGATTTTAGCTTTGTCGTCAACCTGCATGACTTCAGATGAGGACTTCCTGCACCAATTTGCGCCTGGGGTTTGACGGGGTTGCACACCTGACCTTGGACGACGCTGAAGCGCTCATGCTCTCGGATAGACTCGGTAATCTTTTCCGGGGAACGTGCGTAGCCTCGAACTTGGACAGACTGTATTTGTAGTAGCTTATGAATGATCCGCCCGGCAAGGTCGCCTGTAGCACCAGCTACAATGACCAGCATTGGAGTTGTAGTGGCCATGGGCGCCAGTTTCCTGTTCCTTGTTAAGGTAGTGCGAAATGGAGAAGCCCACCAAGCTGAAGGTGAACACACAATGCTACTTATTAGAGATTTACCACAGATTACCCAAACTAGGCCCTCAGGGCCAAGGCCCAGATATAATGCCGTCGACCACCTGAGGCAGAGAGCGCAAGCAGACGCTTCGGGGGGTGGACTTTCGGGACCGTCGTACCTTCATGCCGCTAGAAACGGAACTGGAGTGGTTGCCGACATGATGGTGGCGTCCGTACAACGTACAACGCATATGTAAGTTTTCGCCCTTGTCTGCTCCGGCATTGAACGATCCGAACGCCGGCATTGAGTTGAATTCCCAATGTTCAGCCCGTGGCCCGGCTCAAAAGGTATGTAGCGAGATGAACTTCAACATGTCACGGATGCGCGTACGGATCAGAGGGTATAGAGGTAAATAAACGAATCTTGACCCTGCGCCGTATTGTGCACCACCCTTGCATGCAGCGTTGGATGGCTCTACTTTCAATGGACTCTCATCGTACCGTTCCAATGAGGAAGTTGGCTGGTGTGGAGATACCAGATACCGATCTCATAAGACTGGCGACTGGTTACGCACGTCAGCACGCCAGCGACGCCTTCTTCAACCACATTCAGCGATGCCTAGTGTTCGGCTTCGTTATCGCTGCCAAGGTCCCCGAGCTTCGCGGACGAGACTTGGAGGTCCATGCTCTCGCAGCCATTTTACACGACCTTGGCTTTGACCCTTCCCGGCAATTGGCCACCAGCTACCGGCGTTGCGAGGTCGATTCTGCCGAGGCAGCACGAGACTTCCTCGAAAAGCACACAGACCGTAGTGAGTGGCCACCTCAGCGCTTACAGCTGGTATGGGATGCGATTGCTTTGCACGCCGTTGGAAGCATCGCCTTCCACAAAGAGCCAGAGGTGAAGGCCTCCACTTACGGTGTTTGGGCCGATTTTCAAGGCCCTGAGGGTGTGCATGGTGGACTTCTGACTGATTCCGAGTACGACAGAGTTGTCCAAGAGTTTCCTCGCCTCGCTATTATTGAGCGTATGAAGGAAGCCTGGATCGAGCAGTGCACCTGGAAGCCCGAAACCACGTACGACACTGCAGGAGCCGACATTGGCGACGAATATATTGAGACGTATAGCAGAAAAGGACACACCGTTCTCGATTTCCTCAACGGTTGCAATCTTGACACGGTCGATCGTTCCAGCAAGTAGCTCTTGGTTGTGGACTGACCGACAAGATTCCTGCCAGTAGTCAGGGGATGAAAGTTACCATGGAAAGACCGCGTTGATGCTATACCCATGGGGATATATGCTGTGATGAAGGATAATCTTGGATGACGCGCTGGCGACTAAAGAAGCAGCATCACTGATAACGAGACATGGCTGCTGGAGGGTGTACCGGGCTACTACAACACGCCGTTTAGATTTAGTCATACTCAGAGAAGCCTGACATTGTTGATTGGAATACATCTTTATTTCCAAGCAGCCTTCTTGTTTTCTCTCACCAAATGGCGCCATCTAATCTGTCCGTGCCAAATTTTATACCACAATCTCTTAATACACAATGGTAACGACAAGTGAGCCGAGCTTCTCAATACTAACGTCCACTGTGTCCCCTGACTGCAGAAAGCCTGCCGGTTTCATAAACCATCCGACTCCTGATGGAGTGCCGGTCATGCAGACGGTCCCGGCGCGCACAGTGCGTCCGCGACTTAAGTGTGAGATGATCTGCTGAATGTTCCAGATCATGTCAGACGTGTTTTCGTTCTGCCGGACTTGACCATTGACTTTAGTAACAAGCCGCAGATTTTGAGGATCGCCTACTGTGCGAGGAGACACAATATACGGACCGAAAGGCGCAAATGAATCAAAAGACTTGCCGTAACTCATCTGATACCCTGAGATCTCGTGGGGTATATAGTTTCGTGCAGAGAGGTCGTTGCCAATTGTGTAGCCCAGGACATAGCCCAGTGCATCAGTCTCGGACACGTCCCTGCAGTCTTTACTAAAAATGAAACACAACTCTCCTTCATAATCGAGCTGCGCTCTAGCGTCGGTGTGGCAGTAAATCTCATCAAATGGTCCGGCGATGGAATCGGCGGGTTTGGTGAAGACTATGGGCTGACTTGGCACTTTGAACTGCAGCCGAGGATCTTAGCATCTGATGATCAGCTTGAAAACGGTTGCAAGGCTCTGAACCTACATTCGTTTCTTGCGCATGGTTAGCGTAGTTGACGCCAATACACTGGAAGATCGGTGTGGATGGCAGCGGACAGAGGACCTGATCGAAGCGGTAAGCGAGTCAGCAGATACACTGGGTCGCCAAGAACTGCCCTCGCGCCCGACAAACCGAAGACTTACTTTGTTGATCATTGCTTTTTTCCCTGACGCTTTGAGCCCACTTATTGGATCCCCCTCAAGAACTGCCACTACGCGACCATGGAGCTGATCAGCCGGGCTTTCTTCAGTGAGATTTCCGTAGTGTATACGCCGATCTTGATCTTCGAAGCGGACTAAATACTGGAATTCGAAGGTCGTCATGATTGTAGCGAAGAATGCGATTGTCACAAATGCAGCGCGTCAAAGACGTAAAGTATCTAGTCATTGGCTCTGTGTGTCACCAAAAATCCCACTTCAGGCATGGCTGCCGGCGTTTCGGCCGGATGTGAGACAACTCCATGTACGAACGCCGGTAACACAACACACGGGCCACGGAGAAGAGTTCCACGAGCAAAGGGTGCATAAATTGTAGTTCGGTCTACGAAGCAATGTTTTAGGAGATCTGTCCATCACGTCCGCGCCCATATTGAACCATTCCAAGCTCAGCATTGTCTTGCACACGCAGGTGGACAATACAAAACACTGCTGATACCATCAACGAAAAACCCATGGCTTCTATAGTCGCCTCTAAACCCAAGATCAAGTTAGATCGGCTGCTGTACACGCACTACCAGCACCCAAATTTGCCGGCAGCCCACAAATTTCTGATCGACTTTGGTCTCTGCGTCGCTCAGCAGACTCCGAGCAGAATAGCCTATCATGGATTTGGAGAGAATCCTTGCATCTTCATTGCGGAACAGTCACCTGACGGATACAAGCATTTTGCTGGCAGTGGCTGGCTGGTCACGTCACGGGAGGAGCTTGACTCGGCGGTCAAGGCTCACGGTGCCACCCAGGTGCAAACCTCGGACCTGCCGGGCGAAGGTTGCTTCGTCCAGATGGTCGATCCCAACGGAATTCCGCTGCGGTTGTACCACGGTGTAGAGCTGCGCTCGCCAGAAAGCCAGCCTGTAAAGGCCCAAATGCCCAAGCCGGTGGTGCTGAATACATGGAATGACAAGCCTCGCAAGGGTGATTTCCAGCGTTTTGACACTGGGCCCACCAAGGTACACAAGCTAGGCCATTACGGCATGGTGGTTGACAGCTCTCTATTTGAGACGACTGTAGACTGGTACCTTGGCAGCTTCAGTCTGGCTCGGACAGATTCGCTGTATGACGAAGGATCTGGTAAAGATGTGATGACATTTATGCATCTCGACAAGGGCGAGGAATTTTCAGATCACCATGTAAGTATACCTATTCCTCCCCTCAGCCGAGAGCTCTCCTAAGTTCACACATTCGCCTCTTTTTCCAGAGTTTTTTTATTCAGTCCCCCCCAAATCACGTCGCAAGAAGCTTCGCCCACCATTCCAGCTTCGAGGCAGATAACTTCGACTCTCAACTTGTGGGCCACTATCACTTGCAACAGCAAGGCTGGACCAACTGCTGGGGGGTCGGGCGCCACCTGCTTGGCAGCCAGATTTTTGATTACTGGTAAGTTTCCTTCCACCTCTCTTTCGCGCGTGTTTTGCTCCCATCCTATGAGCATGTTTCTAGTTGACACCAAGGGCCAGGTTCGATGCATCTGGCAATATTCTCGAGCATTACTCGGATGGAGACTTGGTCAACAATAAGACCCCATATGGTAGGGAAGTCGCGGCGCCAGACACAATGGCAGTTTGGGGCCCCAACGTCTCAGTTGCCTTTCTTACTACACGGATGGAAGACATAGCCAAGGGCCCAGCCGGCCATCCACCTGCGCCGGTGATGGTAATAGTCTGAGTTTGAGCTCTTTGAGAGCGGACCAGAGGAAGGAACATATTGGAGCCCACGGTGGGTGACTGCTCTAAAGTATCACGGATTGAACGTCTCAAGTACAGATCAGCCGTCAATTTCATTTACAAGTGCGATGGAGGCAGCGAGTAAAAGGAAAACATCAACCTAATTCGCGTAAATATACAATTCTTGCCCCAGGATGGCATGTACTGGAGTGGATTTAAGCGCATCAATCAGGCCCTTACAAGTCGTTCATTTGGACTAAACTGAGTGAGAGCAGCATTTCAATGCTCCTCACCCTATCTACTTGCAGATATTCGATGCCTGCCTGTATTGCTTGTCTACTGAGCGTGGGCATGACTGTGGAGGCGGACGGTGCTACAGTAAAAGATAGCACTTGTGACCTGGGCAAGCTATTTACCAGGATTGAGTGGGATCCATATCACTAAAAATTGGTGTGACTATCACTGACAGTCTCACATCCCAATACCTGTAACTCTTGTGCCTGATAATCCAACTATGTTGTAAACTGCATCCTCAACTTGCTAAAGTCAGTCACCATGGAAGATGACGTACAAGGCAAGAAGATGAGGAAATGGCGGAAGGCCAGGTGAGACTGACAACAGTATCTAGAAACCTATCACTTCAAGTTGCACCCCCGCACGATGCCAAAATATTTACCCATTTCTGACGGCCACCGCAACCTCGCTCTCACCCCCATCCACATTCAACGCCGAAAGGCCGAACCAGTCAAGAACGAAACAGCCGCTGAGCTCGTACCCGCGGAGATAGACATTTTCCATTGCACCGTCCCATTCTTTGCTGCAGACGTGGCGTCAGCTCCGTCGGCATCCGAACAAGAGCGGGGGTCACTACCAGATAGGCAGTGGCATTATCTCCTGGCATGAACACCCTCTTTGCGTGCCTCTTCTTCCGCCGCGTGGCACTTGCCAGATTTTTCTCGGCATAGCATTCTCTGTAAACCGCGGGGCCGCCTAGTAAGGTCGACAGTCGTTTCGAGAGGTCACGTAAGAGCAGCCCACCAGCCCACCAGTATGCCACATCGCCAAAACACCGACGGAGCTGCAACGAGAAAAAGAGTTGCCATTGCTGGAGTAAGTCTTATTACCCTCATTCCTGAAGGTAAATTGGCGCTGTATAAGGCGAATGATCTTCATGTCTCTGGCAGGACCGAAGATAGCTTCCCTATCCATATGCCACGAAGGCCAGTTCGGCAACACCTGTTCGAAGAGTGGAAGAATCATGCCTCTCATAGGATTAGCTAACGAGCCGACGCTCTACAGGCCACAGGACTAGTGGGCTCTGCGATTTTACAAGAGTTGCTCCGCAATCCGCAATATGTAGTGACAATATTAAGGCGACAAGGCTCGAATAGTCACTATTTTCAATCATCGCAGCCCAACTCCGGCGAGTCTACATCTGCTGCGTTGTCCGTTGTTGAGGTAGACTTCAGCTCTTTCGATAGCCTCCGCTCTGCACTTCAGGGCCACGCTGTACTCGTTTCGGCGCTGAGTAAGGTAGCGTTGTCCCATCAGCCTCGCCTCATCGACGCGGCCGTCGCGGCGAATGTCTCGCGCATCATCCCCAGCGAGTATGGTGCAGATCTGAGGAACCCTCTAGTGCGCCAGTTCCCAACCTACAGCGCCAAGGTGAAGGTTCAGGAGCAGCTGGAGCGCCACCGAATCGAATCTGGAACTTCATATACGCTCATCTGCAGTAATGTCTTGTTGGAGTGGGCGCTGATGAGTCCGGGCGCTCTCCTACTGGATCCAGCAAAACGCGTCGCTACCATATATGACAGCGGAAACACCGCGTTTTCCGTTACTACTTTGGCGACCTTGGCAAAAGCTGTGATTGCTGTAATAGACCACTATCAAAAGACGGAAAATCGAGCGGTCTATATTTGCGACATTGTCACCACTTCCAACGAGATTTGGCAGATGGCACGGGAAGCTGCGGCTGCTGTGTTGGATGACCAGGGCGGATTGTGGCAAGCTGTCCAAGTTTCGACGACGGCATCTCGCATCGCCGCGCAAGCGGCCATCGACCATGGCGAAGAGATCGGGCCGAAGATCTTCTATGGCTTCGCAGTGAGCGCTGCCTTCGGGGCGGGCTATGGTGGTCATTTTGAAACGACTGACAACGACGACCTGGGCGTCCAGCGCATGACGAGAGATGGTCTCAAACGTTTCGTGAGTGCTTGCGTTACTGCAAGATAGTGCGATAGATCGCGAGATGTGGGTTATCAACAGCTATGTCTCACCGGAACGAAGTACACGTGTTAAATAGGGTGTGCTGTAAAGCATGGCGAATAATCTATTTGAGAAACGTGCCGACTCCACTAGATATCACCCAGTTTTAACGACATGACTTCAAGACGTTGAACACAATTAGACATAGGATGCGGTGATATTTTCGTTGAGCAAATTCTGAGCAGTCTCCAGAAACTCCGAAGCTCGCCCAGCCCTCTACCGACCTGTTGGAGCAGATCAACGTCGCCCGTCTTCTCATAAGAACGCCCATATGTCCTGCTGATTTTCCATCCGTGTCATATAGCAGCTATCATGACGAAAGCTCTGACCCAGTGATTGAGCTTAGAAGAGCTGTGAGAGTATCAATCATCGATTGAAGACCGTCATAAAGGCTTGACTTACCAAGCATCTCGTCACCTATTTTCCAATACCTTGAGATTTGAGAAAGCGCCAACCTTAACATCTCGATATCGATATTTGGCCGATTTCCAGTGCATTTTGCTGACTTCTCGCGCTGTAGGGCCACTCGCACGTTCATACCAGCAGGCCCTAGCATGAGACAGCCGATAAAGGGAGAATTATAGGCAATGTATTCGGCCGGCCACATCTGCATGATCTGCAACAAGTTGTCTGCCATACGCTCGTAGTTCAATCTTCGGTGACTGTAGTGTGATTCGCCTGCCAGTGGTGAGAGCAAGTTATTGCCCTCCAACGGGTTAGGGTCTCCCCTCGATACTGTTTCTTGTAGAAATCTGATGAATGTAAGGCACCTGTAGTTCTGTGCGCTTAGCAAATGGCCGACACCCCGTCGCAAAAGAGTGAACCGCGGGGAAGGTAGTTTAACTTACCCCTGCAACATGATATTGGTGGAAATTATCCAATTACTTCGTATGAAGTCCTTGGGGCCAAAGGACAGGCTACCCAGCTCCGGGTGTAGGTGAAACTGTTTTGGGAGCAGAAGGGCAAAACATGTCACCGCCTTCTCAATCTCCAGGATACTCTGGTCACTCACGTTTGACTGTCGGCCCAGGCCATACGCGATGAGCAGCAGGTAGTTGCAGAGCAAGAACCAGGCTCTTTCGTCCTGGTTAGCCGAGTCCCTCAGGGTGTACCAAGCATTCAGGGGGTCCGGATCGATCACCACTGATTCCACGGAGTTATCGGCCAACCAGTCAGCATCTGAGACAGGTAGCTTGACCGCCATGCTAAGTCGGTCGATAGTATGCGGCCTACAGGCAATGGCAGAAGCAAAAGTGTCCAGTTCCCAAATCGACCACCAAACCCGGCGCTGCTCCTCTTGCTGTGACCAATCTAGCGTGAGCGGTACATCTCCGTTCGTAGCGTCGATCTTGTCAATACCCATCTCATATGCAAGTCGTGTGCACGTGCCTATAGTCAGCCAACCCTGCAAGTTGGGCCCTGACAGGTATAGGTACCATGCCAGGAGGGTGCAGCCTTGGAGATAGACCAGATCCGGCTGTTGCAGCGACTGCAAACAGTCCCAATAAATCGCTGTTGCTTTTGCTGCAATCCTCTGACCACGCTCTGACGGAGGTTCACGTTCGAAGTAGGGGGACAAGGAGAAACGTGCGGCAAGCGCAAAGACCATATGAACCAGAAGTGAAGATGGTGAATTCGTTTTTAGAGTAGCACGAAGCCTGGACGGGTCTCCTAGCCAGGCCTCGACCCAATGATATTTGTGCAGGATTGGCACGAAAGAATGAACTTTATCGAAGTAATGGTCAATACTCCAGCTACATCAGCTATAAGTCCCACAATCTTATATCGGAGGGTCACCTACAGCTCCTTCATCAGTGCCAAGGGTAGTTGTTGAAGTTCGAGGCTGCCATCTTCAAGGGATCTGCACTCGAACGAATTAGAGTCAGCATGCTCCAAGATAGAGTCCGGGAAGGGCAGGTATGCGCTCTGCTCTCCAAAAAGCAGAGCTGCCTCTGCACCCGTAAGTGCAGGAAGTGTACGCCAGGGCGACATGTTGGACGAAGACGTGGGCATATCGATGGCGGTGAGATCATGAGCATCAAGCGTCCACCCCAGTGAAGAATATGTGCTTGTGTCAGCGAGAAATTCTTCACGCAAATCGGCCAAGTGAAGCGGTGGAGGGGGGCGAGTTGTACCGCCCAAGTTCAAGTCAGCCGTGGTGTCCGGTAGCTTCAAGTTCATAGGCGCTGGCTTTTCTTGTTGAGAAATGAGCATACCGTTACCCTTGTCGTTCGCCATCGGAGGGCTTTCCGTAGATACTGTCGACATATCGTATGCATGTCCGCGGAATAGATGACCATCAAGTTGGTAGAGTGAGTCTGGCATGCCATTAGTGCCTGCGCTCGCCTGCTGCGCTCACCAATAAATGTGAAGGAGGTACGGAGAAAGGAAAATGGAAATAATCACAGAGAGCGACAGACTGAAATTATGCTTGATGTTCGTGGAAGATGTTGCTTCGCCTGAGTCTTTCTTGACCGGCATCGTCTTCCTTTTGCGCCTCAAGGGATAGCAGCAACTTATCTTGCTCTTGAAGCAAGGAGTACAAGCGGGCTTTTTCTTGTCACCTAATGCGCCACAGAATTAGTGGTCGCCGCCCAGCAGATTCGTCTTCGCCGTCATGTTGACCAGTGGGGCGTCTCACACTTGGATTTCTTCCTGTAGGTCCCAATTCTGGTCAGCACAGCTTGTAATGTGCCACATTGGAATCTTCCCACCTGTTACATTCGTAGCAAGCCCGCCACTGTCTCGCATGACGATCAGCTTCATCGTCCGACCTCTGAGAGTCGCTGACAGGTTTAGAAACGTTCGCAATGGCGCTGATGGTAGCCAGTTCCATGGTGTTGGCACATTGGGTGAGTGGTCGGCCAGAGAAAGGTGATACAGACCGCGAGAAGATCAGCTGGAGTGCATCCATCACATCACTAAATAAGGATTAGTAAAAAGTGTCTCCGCCCCGCACCCAGAATTCGTCCAAGAGCTCACGTGTTGTACTGCGTTGTCAAGAATCTCCTTGGGCAACATGTCCCGCAAGCTCTCCTCACGGTGTGCTAACAAGAGACATCACTAAGGACAGGAGAAATGCAACTGCAAACCTACTCCAGCCTCATCACAGCGGGACTTCTGTCACCGTGCTCGTTTGCAAGCACTTAATGGTACGTTCATTCTCTTGCTAGTTAAGCTGTATGTGAAAGCCTGGTCAGGGTACGCCTATGTCAACGTGAGTGGTTCGCGTGGGGTAACCGAGAACCAGGGCTAGAAGCTTGGAGTGCTGCGAGAACATGTGGTGAACGACGTACGAGTGGCAAAGAAGAATCAGCTAAAAGCGAGAGGTTGACCAAGCACAAGAGGTCAACCACCCGTTCACGTCACGCTATTGGGCCTGGGTGCCAAGACTGAGTTGAGGTAAGTCTGACCCCGCACCTCGTACAGTCGCTTTTCTCCTTGAACACTACCGTACCACTTCGGCCCCCTGAATCTCGTACCACATTATCTCCCTAGCCGGACAGCCATCAACAGAATGCTAGTCCTAAAATAATAAGCTTCCATTGAGGCGCAGGTGTGAACACGACGTTCTGAATGAAGAAACGCTTCAATTGTGTCAATTCAAGAGGTTTACCTTAGGACGCCCGCAGCCACTTCCGTCATGCTCCCTTGGTCAATCTGTAGCCTCCGATCTACAGGTTCTTATCAGTTTCTCGCTGAGACTATAATTCTTGGTACGAAAGTCTCTAAAGCGACGGAAGAGATTTCGAAAAGTTTGCTGATGAATTGTTTCTGGACAAGATGTTATCCGGGAGTCGCGTTCGTAATCGGAGGGATGCAAGCACTTGGTAAGCGGTCGAAGCAGGCAACGAATGCTAAAACCCGGTTGACATGTGCTAAACTCGAAGGCCGACATTGCACCTGGCATTTAAGCTTTCCGGGGTATGCTTCCACACCGGCGGTACACACCCGGCTGCGGTGCCGCGCTGTAAGTGTGTTTGATCCGGCAAAACAAAGACCGAGTTTCCGCAAGTACGTGTGTTTGCACATCCGAGCCGATTGCCAATGGCCCAGGGAACACACCCGACAGCGAAATGCCACCTCCATGCTGATTCGTGCCAGCACTGACTCATCATGAAAATCCGAAGTAGGCAGCGTGTCTTCTCCCGTACTCCCCGTGGGGAATGACGCCAGCGCTTCGCCTTTTTGGAACTGCTTTAGTCGCAGAAAACAGAAAATTTATGCGATGGGAGCACGGGCCTTATGCTCAGACACTATGCTAGAAACCAATTGTCGGAGAGTATGAGACCAATCGACGCATCATGGGGTCAAACTCATGTCAAATTCCGCAGTCTGCTCATCATGGACTGGTCTGGATCTCGTTCCTTTGCCGATTAGTTTGGGCTGTTGAAGCCCTAATTTCGAAGTCAATATTTCCAGTGTCGACGGCGAATTACCAGTGAACCCTTTCGGATGTTGACCATGTACCCTTGCCTCCAAAGACCATTTAAAACCTTGCGCAGGAATCCCATCCTCCGATACTGGTGATTTCAACGGACCTCCAATTCTCTTGCGGCTTCACTACAATGGCGGCCATGAACACCGAAACATTAACGGCCAATGCCTATGACGAGGTTAATCACTATGCGAGCATGAAGCCAGAGCTCACTCCTACTGTGACAAACCTCACTATGACGGCTGAAATGTTTGAGAAGGTAGCCCTTCCGGCTCTCACTGCCGTTATCGACGTTAATCATTGCTAACATTCTGACATAGCTCTATTTGACACCGAAGACTCCGAGAGCGGGTGACAACATCAGGCGTTTCGCCAATCCAACGCCATTGGGGTTCGTGGGGTGAGTCCTTGATAGTGACCAGCGAGTTTACGAGACTTTGCCTGATCACAAGCAGTTTCGTGATATCTGCCATGACCTTTTCCATGGTTCTAATGGGCTGGGGAGGAGCAGAGGGCTTTTCAGCACTAGCGTCAGTTGGATCAATGAATCTCCGGTTCACGGGTTGTCCTAGCTAATACAACCTATAGTGGAATGTTCTTGTTTGTTGGACCTCTTCTACTCCTCTTGACGTTGATATTCGAGTTTCTGCTCGGAAACTTCTTCTCAATGATGGTATGCGGGCTGTTCTGTGTGTTTTGGCTATCATTTGGTGTGCTGCAGTTTCCGACCTTGGACTTAGCAGGGGCATATTCTTCCACTGGCTCCGCAGCAGAGGGATCGGCATCACATGCTTTCAACGCAGTAATTGCACTATACCTGGTCGTATGGGGATTCGCCCTTGTCACGTTCACGATCTTTACACTGAAGACCAACATCGTTTTTGTGGGAATGTTTGTTACTGTTACGGCAGGCGCATGGGTCATGTCAGGCGCCTATTGGAAGGTCAGCTCAGGAGACTATGGTTCGGCACACCAACTGGAGACGGTAAGTAAGCTCTGCGTTAAGCTGAATTGCATTGAGAAAGAAGCTAATGGTCCGTGAAAGGCTGCAGGGGCATTATTCTTTGTCGCTGGGAGCCTTGGGTGGTATATCACATTTGTCATCATGGCCGCCGAGATGCGGTTGTCAACCAAACTGCCAGTAGGTGATCTTAGCCAATACTGGGCACGAACAGACAGAGATATTGCTGTCGTTGAGGCAGAAGCTTGAATGAGCGCTTAAATGCAGCTGGGGTGCAGGATCAACAGCCTCTGTCGAGTTAAATACGCACTCGTCTCGTGAACGCCCCTGCTTCAAGGCCATCTTAGGTTCCAGTCGCTTGCCCTACCTAAAGAAGAAGTCATCCGTATGTGGGTGCAGGATATATGGACCGAGCCAAGCCAAATCCGCTGTATCAGATTTTCGTAGAACATACATGTACTCAATGTCATTGATGGGGGCGATGTCGTTGTCTTTCGAGAATGATGCCTCCCGGAATGCACTGTGAAAGGTCGATCTCTTTGAGACATCGGCTTCCAAAATTGATGAAAAACAGACTCGTAAGGGGAAATAGTCCGACTCGATGTGGGACGAATCCTTTGTTGCCACCACTTGGGTCGGATGAGACATTCCTTCTGCCGAGGACGATAACTTTTCATCCACTGGCGCGTATTCTGCTTGCCTCCATGATTTGTGGCGATGATCTGACCGTCGCTTGCTCGCCCGGGATCATCTACCCGATTCTTCCACTGCCACGTTTCCTAATGGCGGAATTGGTAGTCTCGTTGACTCGGTCAAGTGCGGAGTGGCTCGTGTAAAGATGCATCCTGTCATTTACGGGAATTCTCTGCAGGAGGCGCTGAGGCTGTAGGGCCGAATTCACCTCGGTGATTTCTTCATTATCTGCTACAACTATCTTTGCCAGAATATAATCGCTTGCGTCTGGACGATGGCGTCTGCACCGGATAGCGCACCGGGACAAGCTCTGTTCTCCGGACAGTCTCGCCGTCCTCTTTCACTATGTTATACCTCCTGGTGACCTGAAAAGCATGGCCGTGTGGTCAGCGCCAAAATATGCCACGGCCATCATTGCCCTTGAAGCTCCTTCAGGGTACCCTTGCTGGAACCTCTACCAGCGTGACTGGATTTTTGTTCTATACCAGGCACTGTGAAGTCGTCGGTTCGCTCGACCAAGCCACAGAACCCCTCTTCGATTCTCATTTCTTCCACAGGTACAATCCGCACCACAACCACGTCAACAGCGATATTGTCGCGCGTTACATACCTCTGACAGAACTCCGCCGCGATCTACTCGAAGACTCTCGCAATGGCGGCAGCAAACTGGTCGAGCATTTTTGCGGGGCTATGTGGAGCGGATGGTCGTACACGCCTCAGCGACTATTCAACACATGGACCAAGCCTGAATCATCCCTCCCACCACCGGATTCAATGTTGTCTAATTCCGGTCTAGTGCTTGACGAAGTTACCTCCAAGACACTTTTCACGTGGTCCCGCATGGCCTCCATTTTTGCTGCCTCCCTTTGTGCCTTGAAGTCGTCAGACCCGATTCCAAACACACCACCGCCTACCACGCAACAAGACGAACCTCTCGACCTCTGGGATCCCAGCACTTTGTCTGCCTCCACCTACCCAATCGGCACCTCCATTACGAACTCTTTTCTCGTGCTCTTCAAAACACCTACTACTATACTCGTGCGCTGTGGATCTTCCCCACTCGACTACCCCTATAAACCTCGCACCTCGGACGGTCTTTTTGAGATATCCGCTGTGGTGGACTTCGACCAAGGGTGTGCGGAGTTTAAGATAAAATCGCTCTTTTATAACGGCACAGAAGAGGCGAAAGACAAAACAATGGGATTATCGAAGGGCCTGTGGTGGTTACATGAGCAGTATGCGAAGTTACTGCTAGAGACTAGTGTCAGAAAGTGTAGAATCTAATGGAGTAGCGGTCCGTTCTCAGCACTGACATACCCGTCCTCTCATCGAACAGCTATCCGTACACCAGCTAAAACATTCAGGCTTAAAGTGTCCCTACTCCTAATCTTGACCCAATTCCAGTCTATCAAGGAAACTTCTCCGCATTTCATGGACGGAGGGAACACCTTCTGGTTCTGTAGATCTTTACACGTTGAGCTCGCCGTTTTACCCCCGCACTTCGAGTCTCCATTTGACATCGACCTCCGCGCTTGAATAGCAATTGGGCGTATTGTTGGTGCCCAAGGATTTCACGGCTACAGGAAATATGCTCTTCTTAAAGACGTCGAGGACATGCTCGTCGTTATTACAGCGGGATGAACATCATAACCTCATCTATGGTCACTTCCAAGTTGTGATGATCCCAACGGACCTCCTTTCTCCCATGCATCGGCAGTTTCGTCACTTTCCAACCAGGCCTGATGTTCTGGTGACCAGTAGTCTGGTTTTTGCCGGTTGAACAATCCACCAGCATCAGATTCCATGGCTGCTCCATATATATCGGTATCAAGGAAAGTTTCTATCGTCCTAATGTGATTTTCCATCGGCGCGACAATATTCTTGGGAAACTGGTCCATTGCATTATGTGTGAGGCCAGTATCTGTCAGACCAGGGCAAATACAGTTCACATAAATTTGCTCTTTGGCACAACTTTTTGCAATCGAGCGCATCATGTTGATACACTGTTGCACATTATGTGTGAGTAACTGTAACAAAGTTCGGTAGGGGAAGGATTGTTCAAGCTCACCCCGCTTTTTGCTGCCGCGTATAAAGGTCCTGTAGCAAGAGGATAAACTCCAGCTTGTGAAGCAGTGATAATGATCTTTCCACCGCGTCCTTTATTTTGCCTGATGTAGAACAACGCCAAGCTAGTTGAATATATCACACCGTAAAGGTCTACCTCAATCGCAAGTGTCTTAGGCTTCTGCGGCTCTATACTGTTGTCATGGAAGAGCGGGAGTTGATCAGGGATGCCTGCGTTAGCATGTACCACATCTATTCGACCCCAAATCTTAATGGCCGTGGCGAACATTGTTGCTTGACTATCCCATGAAGCCACATCACATTTGATGACGCTCGTTTGATCCCCAAGTGCCGTGGACTCCTTTTTCGCTAGCTCGTCGTTCCAATCTGCCATCACCACTCTATATCCTCTGGCCACGAGGAATTTTGTCACCGCAAGGCCGATGCCAGATGCTGCACCAGTGACAACGGCGACAGGAGCGTCTTTGTCAGTTGCATCCATTTGGAAAACACTTACCTGAATTGCCGGATTTGCTGCTGTAGGGGAGTTGATATCCGATGTTCTTCACTGAATATGCAGTTGCCACCACGATATCACCAGACAATATATGCTGTTGTGTGGTGCAGCCAGCAGCTCATTAATATTCTGCAACAAAGCCCACCACAAACAACTACAGCCTGAGCGTCCATGATACATCGCCCGAATATAATTGCGAGATGAGTAGAATTTTCTGATTAATGCCTCAATGCCCGTGACATTGAAATCTTAGGTGTTATTTATTGTCAGCGAATCAAGTTTCCGTACTACTCGACAATGACTATCCTTTTTTGAGTCAAACTCAGGTGAGTGCTGATACTGAAAATAGGCCCTCTCCACCTATTAGCGTTTATAATAGGTGGTTTGCTAGCACTGAGTGGCGGGACTGCTAGTCTGAGTTGTGCCGTTGCGAGTCACCAGTCCTTACGTCGATTACTACGTCCTCCTCTGAATGCCCACTTTTCTTCTAACGCGGTATGTGGGCTCCATCTGCCAATAAGACTCGGGACAGAGGAAGATTTGTATTCGACATATTGCGAACCGCTGTGCGCATGGAAATCTAACAACTTCTGAGACATCCTCTCAAACAAATCAAATACAGGATCTACTGACTGGGAGTCATTGATGGTTAACTAGAGTTCCGTGTTACATCATGGGAACAGCAAAGTCGGATGTCCAACTCAAAAGCTTTTCTAGTATCTTCCGTCTGGATGGCAAGGTAGCTCTTGTTACCGGTGGTTCCCGAGGCATCGGTCTTCATGTGGCATCTGGGTGAGAACTTCGAACCAATGCCAGCCATTCGAGGACGTTCAGATCAACTAACAGCACAGTTTAGCTTCCTTCAGGCTGGTTGCATTAAGGTCTATATCACCGCGCGCAAAGCTAAGGGTTGTGACGAAGCTGTCGCAGCTCTCAATAGTCTCCCGAATAAGTTGCCGCATGCTCGGGCTATTTCGGTGCCTGCAGATAGCAGCAGTGTTGTAGGAATTGAGAGACTAGTAGTGGAAATCGGAAAAACTACCGACCACGTTGACATTCTCTTTGCGAATGCAGGTGCCACCTGGGGTGAGCGGTTTGAGACACATCCGGAAGTTGCCTTTTCGAAATTAATGGATATCAATGTTAAGGGTGTTTTTTATACTGTGCAGAAGTTGGAGCCGCTTTTGAAAAGATCAGCGACGGTCGACAACCCCAGCCGGGTCATTGTAAATGCATCGATCGCCGGACTTGGGGTCGGAGAACTGGGAGAGCATGCCACTTACAGCTATGCCGCGTCAAAGGCAGCAGTCATCCATCTCACCAAGAATATGGCGGTTGAGCTTGCTCCTCGAGGTATTCTCTGCAACGTAGTGGCGCCTGGATTCTATCCGACCAGGATGGCATCTGGACTGATTGAGCTCTCAGGAGGTGTGGGAACGCTTGCAGCAAGTACGCCGAATCGAAGAGTTGGGGCTCCAGAAGACATTGCAGCTCTGGTGACATTTCTGGCTGCACCAGCCTCGAAACACCTGAATGGCATAGTGATAGTTACAGATGGTGGTGCGATGCTAGGCAGAAGCAAGCTGTAACTGTGTCACGGTTGGTCCATACCAAACCTACGGAGATTGAAGTACCTCGAGGCAATTTGTTTCCTATTGTTCTGGGAACAACGTACTCACTGGATGTGGTAATGCTAGAAACCACTCAGAAAATAGACTCGTCGCTCCAAAGGGTCAGAGACGCCTAGTCAGTTGCAGACCTCTTCGCTAGGAGGCGACTTCGCGGGCAGGGAAGCTGTAGGCTGCATTTTTAGGAAACTATGTCCGTGAAAACCGAGATCTCCAGTAACGTGTCTCCGCATTGCACGAATACAAAAGAAAGCACCTCTCAAAGCTTAATCAGATCCGTAAGAACCACTGACTCGCCTGATAATCTACCTGACCCAAGTTGCTTACGAACCCTAGCGGTTGCTTCTTTAGCGTTCCTGAAAATAGAGAGTCAGGGTCTAAAGGCCCTCGTCAAGGTTAAAACCTTGCTAGGTTTGGATAGAATGACCACTCAGTCTGTGTTGGAAATCCATAGAATCTGAGATCGCAGCCAACTGCATCACCGTAGATCGAGGAACGGATGATACGACGCGCAGAGCTGGTTCAGCTTCTTGCCCTGAGCGCCGACTGAGGACATGCTGGCGTTGTTGTGCGGTTGGCTCGTACACAGGAATCTCTTGACTCAGCCGCCACTAAGTCAGAACGTTTCTGTCAAGATCTGATTTCACCCTAAAAATGACACTTTAGAGATGCAGAGACAGGACAGCTCAGAAGTTTCGCTCGTCCTCCAAGCCATCCATAAAGTCAAGGCATATAACACGGTGATTATACAGCCCATCGACCACTCACCTGACACTGTATCAGCCAGTTCTTTGCAAAAGATTCGAACAATACTCTATCAGCAGTCTACTACCAAATTTCGACGCCAGAGAAATGGAAAACAAAGAAATACAATCTATTGGAGGCGTGCAACCCTCAACGAGTACTATCAACATTCTGGTTTGCAACCTGTAGATCAACTTTCAATGTGCGTAAGCGCTAACCAACCGTCGACATTTTTAGGTCATCGTGGTTGCTGGCCTTGGTAGTTACAATTTCGGATATGCAAACAATGCAATCGCTGGTTCCTTCGCACAAGTGTCATTTGGGATAAAGTTCCTCAGCGGCAGTAACGCAAATTCGATTATCGGTGCGATTCTTGGCGTGTGAGCATTCTACAAAATTTTCCATAGTGGTGACGCTAATCTACTGTGTCAGCTTCTATGGTGGTGGTCTTATTGGCGCAATCATTCAGGCACCAATCTCAGACCACTATGGACGGAGAGCAGGTTCAGTCGCAGGCGGTATGCTGATGGTCATCTCTGGAGCACTACAGTCTGGCGCCACTCACATCGCCATGTTCCTCGTTGGTCGCTTTATAGGCGGCATCGCATCCGGTATTCTGATTGCCAACTGTCCAGTTTACATGAGCGAAATATCTCCTCCACACAATCGAGGCAAGCTCGTAAGTATTCATGCCATTGGCCTGGTGTTCGGCTATGTTGTTGCGGCTGTGTTTGCCTTGGTCTTCTATTTTGTAGATGGTTCGTATCAGTGGCGCTTGCAATTTGTCCTCCTTACATTCTTCGCGCTGTGTTTAGTTGTATCAGTCCACTTCCTTCCTGAATCTCCCCGTTGGCTCGTTGAGAAGGGAAATCACGACGCGGCCTGGAAAGTTCTTGAGCGCATACATCGCTCTAAGCAAGATCCTGAAGCAAAAATGGCCCACGCCGAAATGATTCAGATCAGGACTCATGTCGAACTGGAGAGAAGTCTTCCGAAAGGCTATGTTCATATCTTTAGAACCCCATCGCTCCGGAAAAGAGCAATTCTCTCGATATTAGTGTGGTGTATCGGTCAAGGTTCCGGTGTCCTTGTTATTGCCAACTTGACACCTCTTCTATTCAAAGCTTTGGGTTACAGTGTCGTCGAACAACTAGGTCTGTCCATTGCCTGGGTCGCCGTAGCCACTGTATGCATCATCGGGGCCTCTTTTTTCATCGATACAGTGGGTCGAGTGAAATTGATAGGTAAGTGCTACAGATTACTCAATATTTTCGTTACTGACAGGCATAGTCGCTGGTGGATATTTGATGGCCGTGTCGCTCGCCATAGAGGCCGCGCTACAGAAAAACTATCTGAATAGCAACAACAAACCGGCATTGAATGCAGCAGTGGCGTTCTTCTTCGTATTCATTACCTTTTACGGCTTATTTTTTGACGGTGCAGCTTTCACCTATGGAGCGGAAATTTGGCCAACGCACTTGCGCAGCCAGGGAGCCAGTATTACACTAGTCTCCTTTTTTGCGAATACCATCGCGTACACTGCGCCAGCATCGAAGGCCTTTGCAACAATCGGATGGAAGTACTACATGGTTTTTATTGTCGTGGCCACTGTGATGACTACTATTTTTGCATTTATCGCGCCGGAGGTAAGTCATGAATAAGATCTGATGATTAATTGCGACTAACCTATACTAGACAAGCAAACTCACTCTTGAAGACATCGGTGCGAAGTTTGGCGATAGCTTCGAACGTATAAGTGCCAACAGTCAATTGCCAGCAGAGACAAAGACGATCGATGAGGGTAGTGAAGCCCACCATTTAGAATAAGAGTCTAAATCTATCCCAGCGCGGGCTCATAGCTGCCTTACGAACTATTGGGATTGTCATTACGTCAACCGATATGATGGAGGTATTGAAGCAGAGAGATGTAGATCCTAGCAATCCAATACGGCATTGCAGAATGAGGATGCAACAACAACCATAACCACGTGGGCCGTCAGTGGTCACAGGTACCTTTGCCCTGAGCTCTGTTCGGACTGCCAATCATCGGGGAGAAACCTTAGGTATTGGATCGTGTGATAGCGTTCGTATAAAAATTCTGTCAAACTACCAGTCATTTTGGTAGCTTGTATCGGGCCCTGAGACTGTCCACTTATTCCTCATCAAATGCTCACGCAATTGTGTCTCTTTGATGAAACTTTACGTGGTTAAACTAGTTCTCGTTTATTTGTCCAATCGGCTCAATGTAAATGGTCAGCAAGCCTAGTGAGACTGCAAGATATTCTGGAGACGCAAGTAGCGGTTCAATGCGGTAATGGGCAGGCTGCCGGTTCCGCCACCCCATGTTCTTCGGCTCAATCTTCTCCATTTCCATTTCCCTGCCCTAGTTAAGTCGGTGTTCGAGCTGTCTTACCAACCAGAAACCGATCGCGCTAGTTTCTACTAGAGCTAAATCGGTTAGCGGATAACCTAATTGATTCATCAACGAAGAGTCACGGTGGAACAACATACATCTTGTTTATTAATCTTTTTGAGGCTACCAGTGAGCAGCCTCGGCAGACAGGCGCTGTGGTCTTGCCCATGAGGTTTATTGTGGTAGTGAACGAGCCAAGAGTCTGCTCTTGTCAGATGAATGACTGGGAGCAGAATTTTGGACTACACCGGCCTTCACCATAACACCAGTCGAGGTCATGGAAAAGGGGTCCCCTCATGCCACCAATCGGCCTCATCGCGACACAACAGGAATGTCCCTTGAATCGCCCCAGTCCATTACTACCTTCCCCATTGCTTACTGAGCACTTGGTCTGATGTTAATAGGATATTCTGCATATTCTACACGCCATGATGTCGAAAGCTCTGCCTCCGCATCCAGAATAGCTTCATGATGAGAACATGGCTACAGGGCAGACGAGGGCACCAATGCGACCAAAAAATATTCATGAACCGAACGCTGATTTCCTCCAATAACGACGCAGTCATACCCATGGTGCGGACCCTATGCTCATCATTTGTGAGGCTGTGCCGGGCGCTTTCTTTTGTGACCTTTGTCAATAGATAAACTAGGCTGATTAATCTGACCGAGAATTTCCGAGTAATGTTTTAACATGATACATGATACCTCAACATCATCATCGTCGTTGGCACATAGCTGTGAAGTCGTAAAGCAGCTTCTAAGCTCGAAATTTAAACAAGTCACATTGCTCATTTTCCGTTACCTTGGAATTCGTCAACAAGATTAGTTCGATTTTTAATCAATAAAGAGCGTGAGGAAATCAACCATGTCTCGTTCAGCAGCCCACGACGCTCGGAATCAACTCCTTCGCGAAACTCTTTCGAATAATGAAGACGCTCGGAAAAGTTCTGTTCCAACCGGAGAAACTGTGAGGAGGATTACAAGTGACCTTGGTATCTCACTGAAATCCGAAAACATCCCAAGTAGCGACGGCGCAAGGTTGCATTTCATCGGACAAATTTCGGCGGAGAAAGTCTTGCTCTATTTCCATGGTAAGTCTGCTCAGTTTTGGTAGTTATCAGTGATATCAGAGAATCGCTCACAGCTCGACATAGGGGGCGGGTTTGGACTTTCTGCTTTTGAAGGGCATATTAAATTCCTGATCCAATCCCAAGAAATGCTTGCAGCCCAAGCGTCGACAGTTCTAATCGCGTTTTTGGAGTATGGTATGTTTTGAATACCTAATCCAGCGTAGAGAAAACCCCATCCTTACCCGTTACCAGGACTCACAAAGGAGAAAAAATATCCTACACAGCTAATGCAGGCCACCGAAGCCCTCCGTTTTCTTCTTTCCAAAGGTTTTCGTTCTTCAAATGTAATTATATCACGTTCGGACCTTGGGTCCAAATGAAGCTAACGAATATCAACTGTATTCTAGATCGTTGTTGGAGGTGACTCTGCTGGAGGGAATATGACGCTAGGCTTGGCTTCAGTTTTGATGCACAGCTGCACCGGGGTCACGCCTCTTCAAATTCAGGAGCCCCTCGCCGGATTGCTACTTATATCTCCCTGGGTCAGCTTCGAATCCAGCTCTTCGTCTTATAGGAGGAACAAGGAATATGACATTTTCGGCTCCGAGTCTATGCAGGGTTGGGCGACGGATTTTGTGCTCGATCAGGAGAGGAACAACTGGAATGAACCCATTAAAGCCGATGTCGCATGGTGGCAAGGCCTGCAAGCCGAAAAGGTCTTGAATGTCTATGGAAGTCTTGAAGTGTTGCAGGAAGATGACAAAATACTGGGCGACACATTGCACAAAGCTGGTGTTGCTGTCAAGAATGTGGAGTGTAAGAATCAGGTACATATTGACTGCATCCTCGATGCCCAATTTGGACTCGAAGTCGGTCCCATGTCTACAGAAATATGGCAATGGCTGGCCACCGTGTTTCAGCGTGGTATCTAATGACTCATTGGAAGGCACCCCGTGCTGTCCATACTCCGTCATATCTTGGAACGGGATGCCAGCGATAGTCTCAGTCGCGGAGTTCTTGAAATAGTCCACACAAATTCGAGAGCAGCACCTTATCCAAGTATAATTACATCAAACCTTTTGGCTGAGACTTCATTGCATCATGTCGGTTACAAAATGTCCGTTGCCAGCTGGGGAAATTCTTGGAAAAATGCGTCATGCATCCTCCAGTGGTGCAAATCGGCGCAATAGCGCTCGAAGAGTGGGCTCGGGCTGTAGAAGTCTGCATTGATGTTATACGTGAATGTATCCTCAAAACTGAAAGGCCACTGAAAATCGAAGTACTTAATATAGGCCAGAGAAAATTTCTCTTCGTTCACATGAATATCGGTCGAAAGGAAACGCTCGCGAAGCCGTGGCCAGGCGAAAAACTCGATAAAGGTGGGATGCTGCTTGGTACGGCGGGTAGCTCTGAGACACTATCAGTATGAATACATTGCTTGGACATAGAACGCAAGTCAAAGGGGCGTGCGCAGAATTGAGGAAGTTAAAAGTGTGCCCAGGTTGGGGAAAAGCATACCTTGGCCGCAACCAATTTGGTACTTCCTCGAGGTCAGCGGAGTTGCCATTCAGAAAGTACTATTTTCCCCATGTCATTAATTGTCTAGCTCATCGAACCAATAACTCTTACCTTGAATAGTGCAGAATTTTTGTAGGCAATAGCCACTCGGTTGACTTTATCAAGACGCTCCGCGACCAATTGATCGTAGTCCCTCAATATCTCAATGATTGGATGCTGGAGAATGTAAGGATCAAGCGTATTCCATCCATTCTGAATTGCCCGGAAAATCACTCCTTTGTCCAATGTTTTGGCGCGCTCGGCTCGAGCTGATGATATATCAAAGATCTTGTTGAATACAAGGCTGGTGGTACACCATATGTCTGAACCCTCCGAAGGTGGCAGCACAGAGAAAGGGCCAAAGTACCTCAAAGGCGTAGGGTATTGCATGTCGAAAGAACATGGACCTTCCGAAGAGCACTGCATAGCAAAAGCTTGGACGTTCATGTCCTGTTCGCAGAAAGTCATGCCCGCATTGTAAGTAAAAGGTAAGTTGTCGTTGATGAGAGCCAGATTTTGGTTTCGTTCAGATGCTGGAACATGTTCTGAAAGGCCACCCAAAGTGCTGATGATATCAATATCAGGCGCTGATTCGTTGATCAGTGGTTCCTTATCCCCACCGTTCTCTAAAAACCCTTCAGCGGCTGGCAGTCCACCGACAATGACTTCATCCGAGTCACCCTGCGCATCGAAATTGTCAGTGGAAGAGATGGTGAGATCACTGGTGAGGCATTGAGAGCCGCCAGGTTTGTCGCTCGATATTCCTCCCGCGAATCCACTAGCAATGGAAAACTCAGGCTGAAGCTCGGCTTGAAGTGTAGAAACGAGGTCCTTCAGCACTTTTCGAAGGCGCCCATTGGTTCTTTGCAATTCACTGTTCTTGATCAACAGCTTTTCTACTACATCTGTCTCACATCGAGCTTTGAACACTTCAACGGTTTGTTCCAGGTGTGTAATGTAGTTTCTGGTCTTCTCACGAAAAGTTTGTTGTGCTTTTCGATCCATTTCTCGCTTTCGGACTCGTCGAGCATTTTCGGGCTCTTTCACTGTTCGGGCGCGGGCGTGCTTACTGGGTGGAGGACTGGACACCACTGGGGGATCCATCGTAGCATCTGAGGTAAATGTGATGTACGAGATGCTCTGGTCTTCTTAATGAAAAGGTCGATTTAGGCAGGGCGCGGCTACAAGGTCTACAAAATGACCATTAATTCCCATGGAGAAGATTCTTAAAAAGTGAAACATGGAGTCGGAAAGCGGGGTTGGGCGTTCGAAACGCACAGCGTAGGACTCAGGGCACGTCGGGGAAAGGGTCAAATCTCCACGTAATGTGCCGATCTTGCGCCTTTCGGGACAAGGCACGGCAATACGGAACGTCACGTCGACGGCTTTAAATCCGAGTGTACCCGAGCTATGAAAATGCCTTCGAAGTTGAAACTCGAGGGTCAACTAGTAGAGCTTCTCGGCAAGGTGGCTCGCTTGCAATGCAGAACGTGGACTGAGTATCAACCCGTCAAGAACTTGTGATACCTTCAGTGAGGATCTTGACATATGATCATCTTACAGTAGGTGAAATCAAATCACCGGTTTCAAATCAACTCAAGTAGTGCAGACTGACTGGGGAAGATATGTGTGGATTTTCAATGAAGACAACAAGAATTTGTGGCATGAAACTATAGATCGCAAACTTGTCTGTTATCTAACTACCATTCCTACTGATGACCTCGAGAGCACAATCCTATCCACACTTCCCCTCCATTTACACTTTCGAGAAGCCTGAGGGCTCCAAGCCAGTATGGAAATAACCAGAGCCACATCGCCGCTCCATTTCATGTTCACGTGGAGATGCTTCCCATGTTCCACATGGAGGCATTACGGGGTACTGCAGCATTGCGGATGTAAATGACAGACTTTTACGCACCAACCTTCTCAGATTGACACACCAGCTAATAAAGTTCACCTTATGCACTACATGCCGAGTTTGCGAGAACTGTTAGTTCAATGTTCCTGTTCAAAAGCCAATCAGATGCTTGATGCCGGACGACTTCCAGTCCAATACCCGAAGCCAAATATTTCTGACAAAAGCACACTGAGTCAGAGGAAGTAATTTGCGGGGTATCTTGGAGAACAGGCGTAAATCGCGGCATATGAGCCCCTCAACCTGGCGACGCACCTTCTGGATCCATGACCAGCACGATCTTGTTCGTCCCGAGCTAGGTAGATTCTGACACAAAATGGCGGCTCTCACAACACCCTTCGTACGGGCGCCATGATTCAGATCCGATGACTAGCTATGCGCTAACACTGTCTTGGTCCCAAGAATACGTTCATCTCAGTTGATATATATCATAGCACCGAGAAATACTGGAGAGGAGGCCACAACTGGGGTATCTACCTTCCAAAAACATTGTAGAGCAAGTCCTTTTTCATACATAAATCCCAACATGCCTGTGGCCACATTACCACGGTACGAAGTGCTCAATCAGCCACACTCGCAGAGATCAAAATGGAAGATCATTTGTGTAGGGGCAGGCGCCTCAGGACTCTACCTTGCTTTTCGTTGCGAGAAGCGTATGAAGGATTACGAGTTAACTATCTATGAGAAGAATTCCGAGGTTGGCGGTACATGGTTGGAGAGTACTTGAAATCCACAACCTGTAAGCAGTATAGGTCTAACGTGAACATCTAGATACCTACCCCGGATGTGCATGCGATGTTCCATCCCATATTTATACTTACAGTTTTCGCCCAGTAAGCTCTCAGTCGTACATGCTGTTATGCACCAACAACTCTTTATGCCCCACGATCCCCGTTGCTGAGCTGATGTGCATTCGTACAGAACCCCAATTATACGCAATATTATGCTGGCCACGTGGAAATTGAGGCATATTTCAAAAGTTCGCCCACTCTCTCTGAGGCCAAGGTTTATGACTGATGACCTGGCAGAATTTGAGCAAGAATACAATCTTAGTAGGTTCATACAATTCGATACCTCTGTGGTAAGAGCAGAGTGGAAGGACAACGAAGGGATCTACGAAGTCGAGATCCGCCGTGGAGATGGCACCATTGAGAAAGATTGGTGCAACACGTTGATTAATTGCTCAGGAGTCCTCAATGAATGGAAATGTAAGTTCACCCACTCTGACAGAATCCACCGTAAAGTAACAGATCCAGGGCCTGATATTCCGGGCCTACGATCTTTCAAGGGCGAACTCCTACACTCCGCAAAGTGGAACCATGATGTAAACTATGAGAATAAGAAGGTTGGTATCATAGGAGCGGGCAGCTCTGGTATTCAGATCACACCAAGAGTCCAGAGAGGTAAGTTTATGCAAAATTCGGCTAGCCCATGGCATACTAAGAAGAATTGATGCAGTGGCAAAATCACTCGAAGTTTTCATACGGAATCCCGTGTGGATCACACCACAGCTAGGGGGCTACTTGCAAGCATCAGACGTTCCAGTCGATAATCCGATGATCGCAGATATGCTCGTACGAGGAAGTCAGCCGTACACGTTCTCTGAGAAGGAGCAGTCAATGCTCGCTGAGGACCCCGAGCTGCTATTGACATTCAGGCGCTGCATGGAAATTGCGATATGCAACGCTTTAGGGGCTTTCAAATACGGGTCCGAGAAACAAATTGCAGTCTTTGAGTTTGTCAAGTCACAAATGGAGGCTGGGCTTGGTGACAATGAGGAGCTGAAGGCAAAACTTATCCCAAAATTTCCCGTTGGATGCCGAAGACCAACCCCAGGTATGTGAGAAACTCGACTCGGTGACATTGGTTTCAGGTACCTAACACAGTATCTAGGTGCAGGATATCTTGAGGCTTTAACAGCATCCAACACTCGAGTCATCTTCGATTCCATCTTTGAGATCACCGAAAAGGGGATCAAAACTAAGGATGGTGAAGAGCATGAGTTCGATGTCTTGATCTGTGCTACAGGTTTTAACATCGGCTTTTGTCCTTTCTTCGAAATCATTGGCAAAAACGGACTGTCACTACAGGAGGAATGGACCCCAGACCCGAAGTATGACAAGCATCATCTATCTCTGAGACTGCGTACTGATTTTCTTCAGCTGTTATCTTGGAATTGCTGCCCCAGGCTTTCCCAACTACTTTTCGCCCCTTGGTCCTCGTGGTCCTTGGGGGAATGGCACCGTGCTCACTGCGGTATGTCCGGTCAACGAAGAATTACTGCGCCTCGTAATGCTGACAGGATCTAGCTGGAAGGAAATCTAGACTATTTCATCACTACGATGATTAAAATGCAGGCAGAAGGCATCAAATCCATGATGCCTAGTCAACGAGCGACAAACGAGTTTGCTATTCATGCAGATGAATGGTGAGTCACATCGTGATGACTTTATGCAAGGACATTGCTGATCTGATCCCAGGCATCAAGACTCTGTGTGGAGCCAAGAATGCATGAGTTGGTATAAGAGATCAGGGCCAAGAGGTAAACCATACCTCTGGTGTGGCACGGTACGTTGCAAAAGTGTTTGCACTCACCATGTATTCCGACTTCTAACGGCGGCCAATTTAGACACCGGCCTATATGAAAACCATGGCAACAGTGCGCTTCGAAGACTATGAGTATGAATATAAGAACAGCAATCGCTTTGCATACATTGGCAATGGGCAGGTCGCGGCTGAGTTTCTGCCAATGAAGGAAAAGATGACGAAGTTAGTCCCTTACATAAGGATTGCAGATACACCTTGGGAGATAGAGTAGATAGAGAGCTTTGGGCTGCTGAGCAATTCTCATTCAAAGTTCAAAGCTCTTGAACAATATCTTGAGACAGATCACAGCTGGTTGGAGTCTGCTCAGGCGCCATGACGGAGTTGCTCAGAAGGCTGGACAGGAGAGGTGTCACGATTCAAAGGGATTGCTATTGAAGCCATGATTACGCTCCCACAAGGATGGTGCGAAAGTGATTTCTTCATCATTGATGTGCTCCCACTAATATGTGGTTAGGAACGATAGCAACCTTTCAGAAGAACCGTAATCTGGGCCAATTCTTCCTGGGAAGAAGCGAGTCTACCTGAAGCAGTACTTTAATTTACAATAGCGGAACGCATTACAACTTTGCCACCAGCAATGGACCCGTAAGGGATGAGGGTATGCAGGTCGAAACTGTCCAACGAGAAGAGACGCCATGGCTAGATTTACATCCCGCCTCCTAGTTCCTGTAGTAGAAAAGTATGAATGGAGCTATTACTCATGCCGCCTGAACCATCCTTGACATTATGATAACATGATTTGCCTAGTAGCATAACGAGATGGAGTGACCTTCGGCATCGGCTGTCGGAACAATCTATTTCGATGGATAGAATCCAAACGAGTCCTTCAACTGAAAACCTGCTTTTCAATCAGCAAACTTGATTTTCAGATCTGCTATTGTGATCAGTCATGTCTAGGGCCTTAACTTGATTGAAAGCACAGCTGATGAGAGAAGAAGCTTTCTATACTAACTATGGCGATATAGATCAACTGGCAGGGCGGGAGGCTCTGATATGCTCTTTAAGTTGTGCGAAATCTCATTTGGGTCGATATGCTTTCAAAAGCAGGAAATTATGGCTGACGCTGATTATAGGAAATAAGATTGAAGCGATAACGAGGCAATACACCTACAAATCACCCCTAGACTTCATTTTGTTTCGAGCTTTAAAGAACTATAATTTTGGTGTCGATGATACGAGCACACTCGCGCCTGTCAATATTTCATATGCTTCCCCCATTATCTCATCCACGATTTCACCAGCGGATTGATTAGATTTAGTGACCAAAGCCGCCACAAGTCCCATAGGGCTGATGAATATCGTCAGAAATCGGTCGAATTGTAAAGTTGATGTGTTGAACAACTTACCGCAATACAGACTGCTCCTCGATTTCCTCCGTGAGCTTGCCTTCATGAGCCAGCTTGTCTAGTTCGTGTTCCATTACCACTTTACCCTGACTTTGAAGCTCGAGGAATTCTGGCTGGCGGTTCTTTTCCCAATCAAGAACGTAAGGAGTTGCTAACGCGCGTAGCGGACGACCGCTCCAAAAGGTGCTTCTGATGGTTGAGTCGAAACCAGATTCGATGACACTACGAGTGAGATCAGTAGTTACTATATGTCGTTTCACTGGGGTATACACGACTGGAGGTAGGGACGATGCTTGCACTAACCTCTTCTTTGCAGCTTCTGGTGCCCCTGACTCTCGTGCAGCGAGAAATCTTGTTCCAATCCAGACTGCACTGGCACCCAACATCATCGCAGAGGCAACTCCTCGACCGTCGTAAATACCACCAGCGGCGACAAGTTGGACTGGTAGACCAGTCAAAGGTGATACATATTGCTTACAGATATCGGCACAGGCGGGAATAAGAATGCTAGTTTAATATTCAACTTTGAAAGTGTTTTGTGGGGGGGCATGAAACACACTCACCTCGTTGGGATATCACCAGTATGTCCCCCAGCTTCAGCACCCTGAGCGCAAATAAGATCTGCTCCGATACGACATGCTTTATGTACATGCTGGCACACGTCAATCGAAGATGGTTTCAGTGGAATACAACAATACCTTGGGATGGCCGACCATATTCTATGCTAATGTCAGTGTTAAGATGCAGTATTAGGATGCGGTCGGAATGTTACCATGTACAATATACCCGCGGCGTGTAACTTATCAACCACCGCTTTCGGAGGTATACCCACAGCCGAGACAAAAAGCTTTGTGCCAGTCTCAATCATAATATCAACAAGCTCGAATAAAGCGCCCTTGGTGTAATCGATATTTGTCTTTCGCGCCGAACCTCCAACCTGGGGTATTAGTAGATCGACTCCAAAAGGCAAGTTTGGATCCCGCAGGTTAGTCTTGAGCTCCATGATCATTTCTCGCAGCATCTTAGGAGTGTAATTAACACCACCAATGACTCCAATCCCACCGGCGTTAGATACCGCTGCAACAAGCTCTGCGCCAGAAGTCTGCCCCATGCCAGCCAGCATGATGGGGTGCTGGATGCCGAGCAATCTCGTCGTAGCGGTCGTTACGTAATGCATCGTTGCGATATTGTCGAAGATCTTCTGCAAATAGGCTATGAATACTGCCAGAAATATAGGAGTTATGTCAACGCGGAATACCCGCCGAGCTTTAGCACCAATATTCTATGTTAACAGGTATGCGTTAATGAATCATTATAAACTGACTCGGTGAGCCATATCCACAACTTTAGCGTGTCTGACTCGCGAGTTATGGGTCAGAGGAACATATTTCAAAGCTTTCCCCACAATATTGACTAGTGACGTTGGCAGTCACGCTGATGATTGGTTTGGCCGAATTTGGCCTGGGATTGGGATCCAGGATGAGGATAAGGTAACTCAATGTAAATGTTCCGTTTCGTCCAGTGTCTGTTGTAGTATGCAAGTTTTCCATGAAAATGCCGACCAGAACCTGAGTAGGCGTGATCTCGAGCCGCAACTTATCAACATCATCAAATCGTAGGGTAAGAAATGGCATATCCAGTGCTCGTCTCTACATATCCTCCTATCAATACAAGCGACGATCAATCAGTTGCGCAGCTCATTAACAACTACAACCCCGATAATGTGCCGGACGACAAAATCATTCACACAGACTCCTTGTCGAACAAAAGCATCAGTTTTGGAGGACTTCGAGAACAAGCCGCAAGATGTGCTTGGGGCCTAGTACACAAACTCAAGCTGGAAGAAGGAAAAAGAGTACTGGCGATTCTCCCGAACTCGAGTGATTTTATCCTGCTCGCGCACTCTGTGTGGTGGGCCGGTGCAGTTTTTGCGCCTCTGAACCCAAGCTCACTATCGAAAGACGTCGTATACGCTCTGGGGATAGTAGAGCCGGCTTATATCGCTTGTGATATCGCTTGCCTTGCGACCGTCAGTGCCGCACTTGCTTCCTATCAGCCAGCGCAAGGACGACCAGAAATCCTGCTTCTCCGTGGCCGAAAACATGATCTTCCCGTGTTTCCCGACGACATTATCGGTCGAAGCAGCTCTGAGAGTATGACCCCTTACAGTCTCAATGGCAAGAAGGCAAGTGAAACTACTTCAACCATATGCTTCTCCTCTGGGACCACTGGAATGATAAAGGGAGTTCAACTCTCTCATCATAACATTGTCTCGAATGTATTGCAGATGCGAGCTTCATTGCCCGGTATTCTCAACGCAAGCCATAGAGAAGTCTTCTTCCTTCCTTACTATCACATCTACGGCCTATCATGTGTCGCCATCTACGGCATGTGGATCGGTTCGTTCACATATGGGTTGACGTCGTTCCACCTTGAACTATTCTGCCAGAAGTTGGCAGAGCATAAAGCCACGTTTGCGCATCTGGTACCTCCGGTCGCAGCCTTGTTAGCCACGTCTGAAATCCCACTCAAGCACGATCTGTCGGCACTAACAACGCTGGTTGTTGCTGCTGCGCCGATGAAACGGGATCTTCAATTGAAGCTCAAAGCACAGCTTGGATCCAAAATCAAGATCCTTCAGGGTTATGGGCTTTCGGAGTGCTCGCCTACAGTCATGTACCAGCATGAGTCTGATGAGAATTACGTCGGAACAGCTGGGAAGCTGTTGTCAGGAACACAAGCACGATTAGTGGATCCGAACACAAATAAAGACGTTGCAAAAGGAGAGGAGGGCGAGTTATGGGTTCGTGGACCACAGGTGATGCAAGGATACGTTGGTGACGAACAAGCAACACGCAACACTTTCTCAGAGGACGGCCAATGGCTACGTACGGGCGATATTTTGAAGGTCGATTTAAATGGCAACTTTTGGGTCACGGACCGTCTCAAAGAACTGATCAAGTACAAAGGCTTCCAGGTTCCTCCTTCCGAGCTTGAAGATCTCCTCCTGAGGCATCCTCATGTTATTGATGCTGCAGTTTGCTCCATTTACGACGATGCTCAGGCTACTGAACTACCACTAGCGTATGTGAGCTTGACACCACAGTTATTAACACTCGGAAGGGCTCAAAGGGACGTTCTATTGCGTGAAATTCAAGACTGGGCAAACGGTCAAGTTGTAGGTTACAAGAGAATTAGGGGCGGCGTTTTCCACTTACAGGATCTACCCAAGACACCTACAGGCAAGATCTTACGTAAGAATTTACCTGCGAAACAGTGCAAAACGAATGATAGCAAGCTTTAGGAACTGTTGTCGCGCTTCCTTAGAAATATTCAACTTGAGATACAATGATGTTTTATTCCAATTCGCGAGTATTACTGAAGTCGTCTGGTGCATCGAATGATGAGCCTACTCCTGGGACAGGAGATCTTAAAGCAGAAGTCTAAATTCATAATTCGGATTTACTGACACTCTCCGGTAGACAGTAAAATATTCTTCGATTCATTATTCACCTAGGATATAGTATTCCGTGGCACTTCGGTCGTGTTCCTGGTCATCTTCAAACTGTAACACCCAACAGCCTTATCAAGAATGATTGTTACCGTTACGAAATCTTGAGAGAAGCGTTAAATTACACGGAGGAGTCATTCCACCCGTTCCGGGAGTTGGCAGCCGAAGTGAAAGCAACTGTTTCTGGTAGGTTCCAGGAGTCGTTTTTTGTTATTTAAGGACTTTTTCGCAGCCCTGCCTCGTTATTGGGTAAATGAAGATGTGCTGCTTCGCCTCTATGGATAAGACACCGAAACGGAGTTTGACTCCTTCTGGTGATTCCGTTGCCAGATTGACAGCGGTGTTCCGACAGTATTCCAGGTATCATTCGAGACCCTGAATCACGGATAGATCGACAGAGTATAAGGTGGGACATGAATCGTTGGCAGATTCGAGATCATTGAAACCATGAACACCAGCGGTCGTCGATATCTGCCGCAAATTCGACCTGGCGGAGCACCAGATTTGCTGGGACTCACAAAATGGTCGCCTGGATTTTGTGGCCCATACGCTCAAGAGTGCATTGCAACGCTGCGGTGTTCGGTACTATTGCATTTCTCTTATTGACAAAGTGAGCCAGGCCAAAGTAACCGCTCAGTATTAAAATTCCTCCGTTAACCTGAGATCCAGATCAAGCTCTCCCGTTACGTTGAGTGCTTGTTCGACATAACCTGGGCACATCGATAGATTGTCCTCACTGCTTGTTCCGTCTAGCGAGAACTCCTTGTTGTCGGTATCAAATACATCGGCATCAAGGTCCTCCAACCATTGAATATGCATATCAACACCATCCTCTTTCGTCGGGAACAATTCTGGGCCACCCTTGAGCTTGATAATATCATCCAAGTTGAATAGGCATAGATCATCAAACTCGTTCGAATCGCCATTTTCTAAAGTGTTTCCAACATCAAGGTGTGCAACAGCAGCGGCCGCTGTCGTGTAGGAGATCATGCTCGCACCAGACCCTGGCGGCCTCAATTCTGCAAGGAAATTATTCTCCCCGGGTGCCAGAGTCGAGTTCAGGAGGGGCAAATTGGCTGTCTGCAATGCTTCCGGTGGAGGTGTCAACAGGAGTGGTTTCGTCCGTGAGATCTTCCTCTTCTCCATCCTTGGCTGAACGGTCGTCAACTGTGGTCTTATTCTAGGAGCACCAGCCATGGACACATCTGTCGATGCTTCTGCATTGGTCTTGCGGACCGCGGCATTCAAGAACGAGAATGCAAAATCCGCAGAGGCGTACACCTCCCGTAACCGTTGCAAGGTCTGCATACAGAATTGGAATTTCCGAATGCTTGACTGCCGGGTTTTGGAATCTGTGGACTTGATATCCAAGAGGTGGTTAATGATGGCGGGGAGTAAACATGTGACTCCAGTATTTGGTAGGTATCTTATCAAATCATGTGCATATAGTTCCTTGTACATTTTGGTAATGTTGTTCGCCGCTTCACGAACCTTTCTTCTGGACATTTCTCGGAGTTCAGGCGCGATCACCACATTGGTAGTCGATGGGAAGATTTGAGGTCGGTGTAGGGCGCTGATCGCAGTAAGATAGACTCCGGAGAGTAAGGCTCGATGTAAATTGATCACCTCGCCATCATTGGTAGGTTTCTGTACTCGGAAATCGGGACCAAAGTAGTGAAGATTATTAGGTAGATCTTCGTACCATTGATCAAGCTGCGCATCACAGCGGACCACATCACTGGGTTCTGTTGCACATTTCTTTGGCACGAGTCTCATGGTTGTTTCCTGAGTAGCCCCGATTTTGTGCCCAAGCGTGGAATACTGGACAGCCAGAACCTGGGTGATGCAGATGCACAGCTTAGTGAGGCTTATACACATGTTTGCCAACGTTACTCGGTTTGACGTATCCCTCACTGAGAGACATCCACCTAGCATTCGAATGACCTCCTGTGGGAGTGCCTCGGTCTCAAAGTCCGAGATATCAAGCATCGAGACATGAAAGTCTCCATCATCAATCCGCGTAGGTCTGCGCATGCCGATTGCAATCAAGCGATCTCGCATGAAGCATGACCACCAAATTCGTTTCCAAAGGCACCGCTTCTTGTGATTTATCGTTCGTGCGTCAGATATATCACAGTTTAGATCGCTGGTACGTGCAACCGAGATTGCAGCACCAAGCCAATGCCATGCATCCTTTGGGTCATCTGGATTTTCGTACCAGTAGGTCATCAGCAAGACGCTCTGAACGACTGTGACGCGATCTATCTCATAATCGAAGTCATATAGTAGCTTGACCTTCTGAAAGAATGCTTTCCGTGCTGCCTTCCTTGTCATGTATCCCTGAGCTACCAGATATTGCATATCAACATAAGCTGTTCCCGCAAACATGACGGCTTGGAACAGCAAAAGGCTAATGCTGTCGTTGGGCTGATCCTTCTCGATGGTGGTTAAAACCTCTCCAAGATCGATGATAGGTAGGTAGGGGTGGACATATTGGACGTAACATCGTAATAGCTCGTTTCGAAAGGTCGCTTCAGGTATCGAAAAGACGCCTTTGGCTTGCAAATAGTCCAAGTCTTCTCTCATTATTCTGAGTGGTATTGGTTGAATATACTGAGGAAGGGAGATTTCTGCTTTGCTGGCAGACATTTGGAAGTGCTGCTGTCCCAAACTCGTTTGGATTGGAGATGGGAGGGACTGAGCGGACATCACAGACATCCGGTAAGTACATTCTTGTTGGCTCAGGCGAGGGCCTTGAGTTTGATCTGTGAACTCACGTAAGTATAAATAATAATGCAGGATGAATGGTGGCTTTACAAGGCATATGAGGTTTGTGATGCCTTAATTCGTATTCCAGTGCATGTCCATTCTGGTTGGATTGGACAGGTAACCCGGATGCCAAATCACAGAGGCCATCGATGTCGTCGAATATTGGAAAATGCACCATTTCCTTATCCTCTTCAATCGAGGCACAGGGTGAAAGATGTAAGGCCTCGCCATCTGCATAAGATTTTCGTCGCCTTTTAGCCTCAGTTACTACGCATTCCACCTCATCAAGTCTGCAGTTAGTACAAGGCGTTCCGCTTTCAACGACATCACAGCGGACTCTCCTTGACCGGCAGCAAGAACATGCCTTGGAAGCGCGTCGCCTGACAGTTCTGCTACTGGTAGAAACACCAGCAACGGATGCCTTTCTCTTGACCTGTGTGGGCAACCTGGGCTCTGCTCCTCCTGCTGCCATGGAATATACGAATTTGCTTAGGCTCTCTGGGGCTTATGGATTTTAGGACGTTGATTCGTCAAAAAAAGAATACGCCACTATCAGGGAAGTTGGGATGGAAGAAAGGAGGGGCAAGGGCGGGCAAATTTGGATTGAAGGGTCCCGGATGACTGATATGGAGGAAGAGCTACAGGTCCAAATGTTCCTAGTGTCATGCTGCGCGTCGAGGATGATGTAGGACGCCGGGTTCTCGGCGAAAATCTCGGCTAAGCTTGGGGGGAGTAGTGGATGAGGGAAGCAGGTTTACACCGCTTCCGCGGATGCGCAGAGGTTTCCGTCACTAGGCTAGTCAGGAAGTTTGACTCGCCCTCTTCCTGGTTGATATTTGTCGTTCCCTCTTTCCTAGAAGGCCAGCAGCCATACCTGCCTTACTCTGCATTTCGAAGTCAGATCGTCAGTCGACATTAAGTCCGTGGAGGTTTTCTTGAACTTACCAGGACACTGCAGACCTGTGAAGACTCCCTTGCGGCAATGGATCTCTTGTCCACTGCAGCAAAGTTTACAACTTTTGTATGCGGCTCAGAGAGGCTTGACACCCCCACCGTTACCAATTTTCCGTCTCTTTAAGTATCGCCTAGTTCGACTACTACTCCCGCCCCTTCGTGGCTCGGCAGCCTTATGCCGCATTCTCTCATCTTCAGAAGTGCCAAATCGTTCATCATGTAATGTGGATCAGAAAAGCAGAGACCGTTTATGTTCAACCTCAACAAGACTTCATCGGGACCTGGATAGAGAGAGTTAGCCTTGTCATTCGGGCGGAGCAACCGCTGCTGCTGTACCTGGTTCTGGGACTGGCACCCCTTCTGCTTTTTAGGTTTCAGGGGAGTGATTGGGTGCTGTGCAATGAAGGCTGTGCAACCTGAAATATGCTCGGTAGCGCGAGCACGCTGACATCGTGGAGATGAGTCAACCCCGCAATGTAGACTTGTGCCCAGGCCCAGGTCTTCGTCATGAGTGCCCTGTCACATTACGAAGATCTTTTGGAGGCGCAGATCAGCCTAACTATTGTACATAAGACACCAGGTAAGTACCTACCGACGAGAGCTGAGATATCCAACCTGTGTTTCAGTGCAGCTCTCGAGTTTCAACGGGAGCACTACTTGTTCCTTAGTACAGGTCATAAGCATCTCTCGCCCATAATGTCGAAGGAAGAGTGCGGTCGAGAGCAGACAGCAAACGGCATTAACGGCCAAAGTCCCAGTACCTATCCCTATGTCGACGCAATAGTTATTGGCGCAGGATTTGGTGGCCTTCGCATGCTCTACGAATTACGCAAGCAAGGTCTCACCGGGAGGGTTTTCGAGGCCGGGTCCGGCGTTGGCGGGGTAGGTTTCACCTATGCGCAGTACATTTGTCACAAGCTTGCACCACCTTTCGGCAGCAATATGTGTTTAAGCATAAGATGCTAGCTCGTACTGACTCTTCTATGTTGCTGCCATAGACTTGGTACTGGAACCGCTACCCTGGCGCTAGAACCGACAGCGAAAGCTGGATCTATATCTTTACATTCTTGGAAGAAATTGGCCTGGAATGGGCTTGGAAGGAGCGCTTCCCTCGTCAACTTGAGGTGGAGGAGTATATTAATAAGTTGGCCGACCATCTAGACCTTCGCAAGGATATTCAACTGAATACACGCATCACCTCGGCTCATCGGGATGACAATACTAATTCGTGGACAGTCACAACAGCGATGGGTGAGAAATTCAACAGCAGGTACCTAATTACAGCAACGGGACCCCTATCTACACCTCTGAGGCCTCCATACCCTGGACTGGACTCATTTAAAGGCGACTATTACATGACTGGACTATGGCCCAAAGAAAAGGTTGACTTTACTGGGAAACGTGTTGGTATTGTTGGTACTGGAGCTACAGCTGTGCAAATACTCCCTATCATTGCGTATGGCGCCAAGAGTGTTACAATGTTCCAGAGAACTGCCAACTATGTCCTCCCAGGCCGGAACCACCCCTTAGGGCAGGAACAGATGGAAGACCTCAAGCGGGATTCTGAGAATGTCTTCAAGCGAGCAAGGGCTCAAATTTACGGAATGGATATTCCTGACAGTCCAGTCAAGTACACTGACATGAAGACTGACAAGGAAATCCAACGTATTTTGGAGAGTGGTTGGGAAAAGGGTGCATTCCGATACATCTTTGAGACCTTTGCAGATATGCTCACTAACGATGAGAGTAACGCCACAGCCTCCGAATTTGTCCGTAACAAGATACGAGCGATTGTGAATGATCCAGAAACAGCCGAGCTACTTTGCCCAACCCATCCAATCGTCTCAAGAAGGCCGCCGGTGGGACATCACTACTATGAAGCATACAATCGTGAGAATGTTCATCTGGTCGACATCAAAACGAATCCGATCAGAGACGTAACTCCAGCCGGTCTTAGGACAGACAAAGAGGAGTATGAGTTTGACATAATTATCTTCGCTATAGGTGAACGATCTTGTCTCTGCACATCCTGCTTCGATGCTAATGGAGAATAGGCTTTGATGCAATAACAGGAACATTGGGCCAAATCGATATTCGTGGCACAGGACAGAAGTCATTGAAACAGATTCTTGAAGGAGATCTAGAAACAGCTTACGGTATAACTATCGAGCGGTTTCCAAACCTATTCATGATTTTTGGACCACAGGTACCTTTCGCAAACGTCCCACTTGTCAACGATGTGGTAGTGGATTGGATTGGTAAAGTGTTATCCTACATGAAAACAAACAACTACGATCGAGTCGAATCTAGCAAAGAAGTAGGCAAGGTTTGGACAGAGCACTGTGACTTCACATTCAACATGACTATCATCAAACAAGGCTTAAAAGATTCAACGTCATGGATGGTGGGTGGAAACATCGAAGGCAAACAGAGACGGACCTTGTTCTATCTCGGAGGAGTTCCACCGTATATTGCTGCTGTTGAGAAAGAGGCTATGGATAGATATCCTGGCTTTCGATTTTCAACAATCACGCAGGCCGGTTAATCGAATAGCGTGAGGAACCACAAGATCAGTAATTGAGGCTTCCAATTGATGAGGATTAATTCTCTCAGCCGATTACAGACCAAGTAGAGCATGAATTCCATACAGATATATATGCTTCAGCAGCGTATCTAGTGATGCGGAGTGGTACTTAGTAGAATCAAAAGGAGCTACACCAGGGATTATGTTGCGACGGATTGGGCTTGGGCCGGACAGCAATCTCGAAGGTCAACACGTTTAGTACCCTTGTTCAACGTTCGTTGTCTGCATTATTATTCACCTAAATTTCTGAAATCAAAGGTTCTGCGATATTCAACTCTGCTTTATCAGTAAAGCTTGAGTGCAATTATTCCTTTTCCAAAATTGTCTTTCGCAAAAGATGTTGCACATTTATTATAGTTTACTATTCCAGATCTGGCGCATCTCCTGGGTTCAAATTATATCGAATTGGATCTCAAATCTTGATCGTAATGTCACCCCTCCTATAGTATTTGGCTTTTATTTAAGTCTTGGCGGTCTGGTCATGCTTAGCTTGGTGTCTGCTCGACTTGATTCAGTCGCTTCCTAACATTGCAGTGCTGCGGTCGTACAGTACAGACTCCGTCATATCTCTCATTAAGATCCATCTTAAGTACTTCGCATATTATGGTGATGGTCAGCTGCATTGGGAGTTGTTTAACCCGGCCTAAGAGGTCGAGAAATACCCGACATCTGAATGTTTCGCTGAAGCATCTATGAAAATAACTTTGCTCCACTTTCCGCCACCTCGGCAACCGCTACCAATGCCTGATAGATTCTAAACTTGCCCAGCACCTGGGTGTGCCATAGTTCGAGGAGCGTCGGGTCGAGACATTCCAACGGGTCTAATACGGCTATATCCTAGGGTCTCGTGGTCTCAATGGGTGCGAAATGCGATTCCGTATCCTGCAGCTAGATTTGACGTTTGAGTCGGTCTATGACCCTACCCAGGGAGGGCGTTCACAATAGTGTATATAAACGAGCCACCATATGTTGCGCTCGTTGTTTGAGCTTTAAACCATAATACGCCTATGCAAGGGGACGTCGTCCCGCTATATATCTAATCGGTGGGAACATCCTGGAGTTGTGATGGAGTGGAGGTAGGAAGATGAGATATCCTTGCTGCTTACTGCTGATGTTCACTTGGAAGAGGTGGAGCAGTATATCTAGCCATGGACGCTGGGATATGAGAGGTAGTCTGTGAGAAATAGGACCGAATATAGACTGATAAGGCGTGGTCTTGAGAAAAGTACTCACAATTAGAGCCGTGACATTGCCATTCAATGTATATGGGCAGAAGTGTAGAGTTTGGTGACAGTGATCGATTCCTCCCGGCAAAAGGAGCCGGGGCAGATATCGCACATCACAGACCTGCTTCGGCAGTTCGAAGAAAATATCTCGAACATCTCAAGAAGTAACGCTGGCAATTACGCAACCCCGGGAAGACTTAACGAGGGTACATAACTTCCTCGAAGAGGGAAGGCGCGAAAAACGCGAAAATGATGCGTCTCAACAATCGTGTTAAGATACACCACAGAAACTCATGAAACCTGAGGAGAAAAATGCATTGAAAGGGATAATTGGAAACAGGAGCTCGAACTTCAAAAAGAAGCACTCGCTAAGGATGGCCCTAGAAAAGAAAAGATGCGGTCCGCGTTCCAAGCTGAACTAGAAGTCAAACCAATCTGAATGACAATTGAGATTAGGGTGATGAATAAATTTTAAAGAATAATATTGAACGATAATTAATATTCTAGATATCTACATCCCATCGAGCGCTGTTCTCTCTCTGGCCATCCATATTCTATCCATGGCTGCAGATGCCAATAATTTGCGATCGACCCACGGCTTTATGTCACGCCATTGCATTCCGGTGGAATCAGTGCACTGCGTTTGCACTTTAGACTTGCTCAAGAAATGTATTTCCTTCTAGTCCAGTGAATCGACTAGTATGCGTTGGATGGTTAGACCGCAATGTAACAATTCTTATTGATACACCCTATCGTCTATCATCTTGAGCAACACGAAGCTCGTCTGAAATCTCCAGTAGACACATCTAAATATTGCCAGACGGAGGGGGCTTAAAGGGAACAAGGCCATCTCGCTCCACGGCTAGATAGTACTTGAAATCGCCGACGATGATATCTGACATTCCGAGACGACAACTGCCAGAGTATTCCCATTTCGATCAAATGGAGCTCGACGTAAGTAATCTTGCAAGGGAGTAGGCGAGGATTGAACTTGTCAACCATAGTTGGAATTTATATCTGGACATCTAAAACATAGGGTGGAGTCGCAGTCAATTTCGCAGATTTCGAAACCGGTACCTGCAAATGAATATTGTTTATCTCTATTTGACCTCAAATGAAGTGTCTGCAAGTCGAATATATGGCATCAGGTGAGTTAATTTCTATTTCTTAGGATAGAGAATTTGCCATTACCAACATAAGCAAATCGATTCCCATATCTGTAACAGTATTCGTAGTCTTCGTACCTGATGGTAGACATGGCATTCAAGCAGGATGGAGTCTGAGTAAGGAGCGCGTTAGTGATCTTTCTCGGTATCCTAGTCGGCATACTTACAGTACCACACCAATGATATGGTTTACTTCTAGGACCACTTCGCTTGCACCAACTCATGCAGTCTTGGTTCCAAACCGAATCTGTATGCCTTTGTATCACATTAGTGTTGGAGTTCCATTTTCGGACATAGCTACGTAGAATATCTCACCACTCATCAGCGTGCGCTGCAAAGTTGTCGGTTGCTCGCTGACTAGACATAACTGACTTGATGCCCTGTGATTGCATCTTGATCATCATAGATATGAAGTAATCGAGGTTTTGCTCAAGCTATTTGGCATCAGTCTCCTGCTTCACTGCTTCAATCATACGACATACCAATACAACCACGCTTTCATTGCCCCAAGGCCCACGAGGTCCGAGTCCTAAGAAATAGTTCGGGGCAGCCTGGCGCTGCAATGCCGAGGTAGCAACTGATGGAAGGGTCAGTCGGTCAATATAAACGTTGAGGAAATCATCAAACCTTGGATCAGGATCCCATTCTTCCGCGAGATCTCTTCCATCCTTTCCATTGACTTCAAACCATGGTCGGAATCCAACCTTGAAGCCTGTTGCACAAATGATCACATCAAGATGATGTAATTCTCCATGCTCTGTCTTGATTCCATCCTCAGTGATTTCTGCGATAGGTCAAAGACGACTCGTGTCTTTTCTGAAACGAGAGACTCGAGGTAGCCTGCACCTAAACTATGTGTTAGGCACTCATTTGTAGAGAAGGAGTTTATGCTCCTACCTGGAGTAGCTCTACGGCATCCGACAGGAAACTTGGGAATAAGCTTTTTTTAACTCTTCGTTGTCTCCCAATGCTATGCGCATCTGTTCTGTTACGAAGGCGAATACAGCCTTCTGCTTCTCAAACCGTACTTGAAGGCGTCCAGCGCTTCGCAAACGCCAACCTCAAGAGAATTCGGAAGGTCAGCAATAGTTCGGGATCCTCGGCCAACTTCTGCTGCTCTTGCTCTGTGAAGCTATGTGGTTGGTTCCCTCGGATAAGCAAGTCTTGAACAAATGGATTGTCAGTTGGACACTTCAGCACTGCTGACTGCCCCCACTTAGGGGTGATCCAAACAGGATTTCTGATAAAAACCTCGAGTGAGCGCGCAATTACCGGATATCTTAGCAAGGACACTGATTGAGTGGGCTTGTAAATACTATATCTCAAAGCCCTGAATAGTGCACTAATAGAGTGTAGGGCCAGCCATTCCGGGACTGCAAAAATTCAAGGGTGAAGTCACACACTCAGCACAGTGGGATCATAATCTCGACTATGCGAACAAAAAAGTCGCAGTCTTGGTGCAGGAAGTCAGGAATACAAATTACACCACAAGTACACAAGAGTACGTACTGCCAATGTCTATGGGTACTCCCGAACAGTTGACCAAGGTATTGCACCAGTCCTTCAGTATTGTGCCATTCTTCCGTTTTACTTCTATCTCGTAGATACCTCTCTCGTCGTTCCAGACCGCGTTGACCACTTTTATTCGAGCTGAATGTATCTCCGAAGGTCGAATTTCTCGCAATAATCTTTTCTCAGAGTTAGACTTGACCAAAGGGGAGCTCGAAGCTTGTATCTGATCACCTCTGAAGTCCTCCAAAATCTCCTTGTTGCCGGCATAGTATGAAGAGTATTTTGGATTCTGTAAATGCTACTCGAGGCCCAAAACCACTGTGACTGGGTTTAGAATTAGATGGATCGCTCACTGGCTCGAAGCTGTAGCAGTAGATGTGCGATGGAATATCACATGCACAACTAGGATAGTTGTTGGACAGCAAATCAATACTCTGCTTAGAACTCAGACTATCCGACCCATACTCTCCTACCGAGTTCCCCCAATCTCGTTGTTTTTCTCATAAATCACCAGCTCGTAATCCTCCATTCGTTGCTCACAACGTCGAGCGAAATATAGCCCGGATGCACCAGCACCGATACAGACCACTCGCCATGGGACACGTGTCGAATGTGGCTGTGCTAGAATTCGATGTAGTGGCTTTGTAGCGCTAGGCATCTTGGGTAGGATGGTGAATGCTTGGACAGACAATTGGCCGGAACTGGTGCAAAAACTTTCACCTTTCTTACTAGAGAGTCTGTCGAGCCTAGGAGCGAGGCATACAATGCTATTGACCAAGTAGAGCATGGGGCTTTTCCAGTCACCATGTCTGGGGCAAATCTAGAACTGCGCCCCGCTGGCGAAAGCTCCCAACCAATGGGCATTTCGGATGGAGCATTTTGTTCTGACTCAGATTCATTTGTCAGATACGTTTGACATTGACCTGCGCGGTGAAAAAAAAAATCGACAAACTCATTGATCGGGGTGTTTGTTTCAACTATGGCAGCCTATTCACCATGTCCTATGCCACTGGATGTGACTCAGTTGCTCCCAAGAGACTTCTTTCGATGACAATTAGGCTCCGTTGCAAACACCTATATCAGCCACTAAATCTGACTCAGTAAGTGTGAAAGAAGTCCTTCAAAAAGGTTACACGGACGCCATAAGATGTTGTACTGCACTGCGCAGCGCTTTGATCCGAAATTCAATATGGAGGCAGGAAACTTAGCAGGGGACAAGAATGGATGTTGCTCTGCACCTCCTCGTCGATGGCCGTTAACAGCCATCAATGCGGCAAACGACCAATGACAAATTAAATGCAGATTCTCTAACTTGGGCTGTAGATTTTGGAGTCGAAGGAGCTGCCAAGATTATTCTTAGTGACCGTCGGACTATCCACGGACCCGTATTTCTTAATTCTGGCATTAACGAGAGCGTTGAGGAAATCCCTTCGACTAATTCATTGGGGAAGTGATCTTCAGAAATGCTGTAGAAAGTTACTTGCCCTACACAATCTATGAGACAGTCGACCACGTGGGCTCATGACTCCCAGGCAGGCAAGATCCATGGTCGAAGGACAGTATAAGATCATCATCCTCACCAGAAGCAGACTGAAACGTCATAAATCGTGTCCAGTCAAGGTAGCGCGCTTTCTCACCAACTATACCCCAGTTGATCTCTCCATTTGTCCATCGATCGGGATCGAACAAGTCACCCTTCTCCGTTCCAGTCGCCTCTGTACATGTTCGTCTAGTCATGTCGAGGAGCAGGAAAACCTCACTATCATGTCGTGGTTTGAAATTTGGGTGTTTGTCAAGGAGTTGGAGGCCCGTGTGAGCATCGTGTAGACCAAGACCCAAGTACCAGAGATTGAATTGGTTCAGCGACAAATCCACGTTGTAATCCCCACCAGTCTCTGCACGTTGCACGAGTGCTTGGAGGATAGCGACCGCTCCTACCACCCCAGTTCTGGCGCAAATGAGCCCTTGTTAGCCCCGGGTCTAGATCCAATCCATTCTGACAACTGGTGCACGACCTACTGGTAATCTGAATTTGGTAGGAGTGGCACTACCGGCTCATCCAATCCCAAGAATTTGCCCTGTTCCCAGCTAACTCCAGTTACCTGTTCCATGTCCTGAATCAGTACTGGGTTGAGCAAGATATCCACATATACATAATCAATCGCGGGGTAATCACAACATAATAAACCACAATGCACTTACGCAGTCACTGATCTGCTGCCAGCCAGACCGATGGCTCCACTCGCCCACCCATCCATAACAGTTTTCTCTTGCATAAACAATTCCTTTTCCACGCCTCCGCGCCATTTCATGTACCCACTTACGGCCGAATCCCATTCGCTCCAACGCCCCAGGGCGGTAGCCATCAATTATAACGTCGGCTTCCTCAACTAAGGTTCGGAAAGCTAACTTTCCTTCTTTCGACTTCAAGTTGAGGCTGGTATCTCTTTTACCGATTTGCATATCAAAGATGATGCTCGAGGGTTCGGGCACGGTTTTGGATGAGATACGTAGCACGTCGGCGCCGAGTAGAGCAAGAGTCTTTGATATGGTCGGGCCAGCAATCACTCGGGTCAAATCAAGCACCTTAATTCCTGTTAAAGGTTTCTTCTTGTGAGCTTGAGCAGGAGGCCACGCAGTAGCTGGCAGATCTTCCTGAACGTTGTAGATTTCATACAACGGGCTGTTCGCCGAAGCGTTGCCATGTGGAGTTTGCCTGAACTCCTCGGCGGTGTAGCAGATGGTGCCTGCCTGGCGCCAGAACTCATTGGCTTCGAGATCTAGCCATCTGCTGTCGTGTTGCGCGATCGCCTTCGCATATATTTCCTTGATGATGACAGCATCCTTCGCAGAGAGGTCAGGTCGTGTTTGAGGCAATCCTAGCATATCCAAGATCGCTGTCTGATTTAAACCACCATGAAGATGGTAGAAACGACCATCGCGAGCCTTGTACACATTCGTAGCCAAAGCTCTGTAAGGCTCCATAAAATTTCCGAGATCCATATGACGAGTGCGGTCTCGGAGACTGATGTCCCACATCCCTTTACCACCTATTTCCAGTAAGAATGCCGAAAATGGGAACAGTGTAACTTGATGAACATCGACCTCAACCTTCTGCGAGCCAGCCCCATATCTGTCTTCATAGATTTTGGCACTGAACAGCCCAACCAAAGCCCATAGAGCAGAAGCAGACTCCGATATCTTACACGGGGTTGGGATGATCGGGGGTGTATCTGCAGGCGTAAATGAGACTGTTGACAATCGGTCCACGATTGAAGCAGGAATCTGGAGACTTTTATTATGCAGTAACTTCGTATCAAGAATTCTGTACGCCTCCGTGGCTACGGAACCGTACTGAGACTTAGGATTCATATCCGCAGTAGGAATTTGTTACTGAAGCTCAATCTGGGAAATGTTTGGCCGGAAAATTCAGAACGAAATAATTTAAATGGACGTGGTTCTTGTCGAGGTTCACCTCAACGGACTGTTTGCACAAAAGAGACTGGTTAGCTGGGGTGGACAAAGTATGCCGGAACATTTAGTCATGTCTGCTGACTCGCAGCTGATGGTGCGGGGAATGAGGATCCATGCTCGGGAGTGGACTGGCCGTTTGCCGCTTAATTCGGCCAGACTGTGCCAGATCTGTACTCATGATACCTAATCTGCCGAATTAAGACCATGGTCCAATGAATTGGTCGAGTCTCTCTCGAGAAGCCGAAAGCATCTCTATATACACCCGAGCTAGAACAAGTGGGGTGTCCAAAGAGGGTAAATGGGACTCCGATACTCTAAGAGGCCGAGGCTTACCTACGGTATTTCTATCGCTGCGAAGGAGCATCGGAAGGTCAGCCCAGGCAGCTAGTTGGCGAGGCTCAGGGAACCTATGGATATCATTACAAAAATTGATGCGCAACTACTTGCAGAGCCCCGATTTCTCTCTGAATTGGCATTATGGCTTTGGGCCTTGAACCGGACAGTGGTAAAGTGCTTTTCACATCCTCGATGGCTGTACCTGAGCGAGGACCACTCCGAAGGAGAAAATACTTCAGTGTTGGCATATTCAGTAGTTTTCTGAGATCGACTTTAAGATCACGTTTTTCATAAAGTGCTTTGCGAAGGGCGCCCCTTCAATCTCTAGATAGCCTCACGTGGCGGTTTAGGGGATATATCTTGAGGTCGTAGCTAATGTCCAAGCGGCCCGCAGCTACCACTGAAATGGGCTTTACTAAACCGGAATTCCATGCGCCTTGCTCTGATTGGGGCAACAGCTATACACGACCTATATTCTCCCTCTGTCCAAGAATCTTGTGGGAACTGCAACATGTTGCGCTCTAAGAAATTCTCCCAAGTTCTTTCCGAGTATATCGTAAGTGCTAGAGGAATTAATTCCTCGATCCAGATGTTGATGGCATACGAAGTGAACTGCCCAAATGTTTGGTAATTCAAATCGGTCGATAGCATTGCCTGAGTACTCGTCCCGTAGTAGCTGCTTCATTTTCTGAATCGTCAACAGACTGCGAAGCCACTCATATTCATCCTCGTATCGGACGAAGAACCCAACATTGGCATTGCAACCTTTATCACCTGAGCGAGCATGCACGATAAAGCCAATAGGACACTCGACAGTCTCCCCAAAAGTAGAAAGATCGGTCGGATTCGTGGGATCGTAAGAAGGCTGCTGTAAGGGGTACGTTCTAGTTCTGGTAGGTGGTGGAATTTCGATGCATCGGTTGTTGGGAAGATGAACAACATGTCTGACCTCGGCTTGATCAAGCAAGGTCACCCAGTACTCAAACCAAGGTCGTGGAAGTCCCGCATTTGTAGCCTATAAATCATCAGACGACTGAATTAGAATGAGAGAATAAACCCGCTTACCGCATGTGGCGTCGCTCCAGGATATCTTGGAACCAATGTTAGCAAAACGACTCGTGATAAGGATAGACGCAACTCACGTGCACATAATAATGTCCCACACAGGCCGCATGAAGTTCTCCGTCGATAAATCCTCTTCATTTTGTGCTTGTGCGAAGATTCGGAAATCTACTGTTGCGTCATTTTGTCGACGGGGATTAGCTGCTGCAGTACCGTTTGTGGTGAATTTCAACAGTGAGAGTTTCTTGATTCGCTCTTCTCCGAGACTGAGACGGAGATGAGACTCTATCATCTTTGCTTTAGCTTGTACATCGAGGCCCACAATTGCCCAGTGGAGTTCTGCAGAGTATCCAGCAACCCCAGAAATGCCAACCTTTGTCGTCACAGGAGGAGGGAGAGCTGTTATACCGCTGATAGCGACAACATCAGGTTCAAGTTGATCAATTCTGATTTCATCCAAAACTGCGGTGACATCAGAGTTGAAATACCTATAAGAATGGTAATCAGGTCAAGATCATGGCTTATAGTGGGTAGTAAACATACCATGGTCCTTGAATCTCATAGAGAAGCTGGGCTTTGACCGTCTCAGTGGTGACTGCTCCCCCACTTCCCGTAAGTTTTGTGATAACGAACTCTCCGTTTGAATGGATCTCTGCAATTGGGAGACCGGGATCTTCACTCCTAGGAATGCTTTTGAAACCGGAAAAGTTGGCGCCTGTAATGTAGGTAGAGCATTCTACGAGATGACCTGCGACCAAGCTGAACGCCAGTTCTTGAAGATTGTCTCTGGTCCAATTGTACCACCAGATAGCCCCGCCGATGGTTGGGCTTGCGTCGGCCACTCGTCCACATATGACTATATTTGCCCCTAACTCAAACGCTTTAGCCACCCCAAAAGCACCCAAATATGCTTGAGCAGCCACCGGTTTGAACTTCCAATCCGAGATTTGTTCTCCAGTATCGATACTATTGAGAACTGCCTTGCCACTGGTGAGGTGTTTGTTTACCTGTTCAAACACATCATCTCCAGAAACCCAAGCCACTATTAAATCCAGGTTTTGCTGGTCCGATAACTTTTGCACGATGGTTGCCAGGAGCTGCGCGTCAGACCCTCCCGCATTTACTGCCACCTTGACGCCCCGTTCGGCGATTTTGGGGAGGACGGGCTCTAGAACTTCCAGAAAAGAGGCTTCGAACCCTGGTTCGCCTGGTGAGAGCCCGTCAGTAAACCATTCCGACTGCATAACAGAGATTTGGTATACCTGCGAGTTTTCTGGTCGAACATGCTGGCATATTTCCCTCAGACATCCAATCTCCAATGATCAGATCGATAGGTTCTGAGGAGTTGACCATGTTTCCGAAGATTGCCCGTCGATCGAATACTGACCCAGATGCGCCCTATCATGCTGTTAGTGAAATAACTGTGCAGTAGCAGACATCAACTCACGCATATGCGGATTGGGCGAGTGCCCCTGGCTTCTATGGCCAGGCCAGCAGAAGAATTGTTCTCAGCAATACTACCCATTTCCACGACTGGTCGTGTGTAAAGCAAAGTCAGTGCCAGACACGAAAAGCATTAGAGTAAGAGTCGTTATCTAAACATCTATGGTGAGTGGCGACCACGGCAAGCGAGTCACGAAAGCTGACAGTTGAAATCTTACCCGGCCTTTGCCACAATTCATTGGATTGTTGGCTAGTTAGGATGTCTGCCCAAATTCTATACCTTTTGCCTCGGCCTTTGGAACAAATGGACGTGGTATTCATATTCTCTGACTCCGTGATAATTTCGTGAGTAGGAGGTTTAGGCAGGAAAGTCTCTCGCGTGTGGCGTCCGTCGGGAATTGAGTTGCCACTGGGAAAGAAAGTGGAGAGCACTTTTGTGTTCTGTGCTTTAGATCTACGTCTTCAGAGATATGCATGCTCATTGAACTTGAGGACCACAAAGAGTCTGGAGTTTGCCTCTTCCGATATTTCATTGATTAAAATCTATGACTACACGCCCAGCCACTTGACCTGCCTTTAGTTTTGCAAGAGCCTCGGGTAGTTTGTCGATGGAAAATGTTTCATAAATCGGCTCTAGTTTGCCCTAAAGCCAAGTATTAGTTCAATCGAACACAGATAATAGTGTGGAAATGGGCTAGACTCACGCGCCGCGCAAAATCCAATGCCTTCTCGGTGTCCATCATGGAGCCCACCACTGTCCCAGAGATACTGAAGTTTTGTAGTACGTACTTCGCCGGATCTGCTCCGAGTATGACAGTATCACTTGCCGCTAGAGTGTGTAAGTCCCCTTGTAGGTAACAATGGGATGGTAAACTCACGCAGTCCGATGCACATTACACAAGACCCCGGCCGTGAGCCGGTGTAAGAGATCGCATTCGCGTATGCCTGAGGCGCCGTCACAAAGACGCCATGCGCACCTTCTCCGTCAGTGATCTCAATCACCCTTTGAGTCACGTCAGTTGTTTCTTTAAAATCGACAAATGCTTCTGCACCCAACCTGAGGCACAGTTCGCGCTTAGCAGGCCCAGTATCGATTGCTATTGGACGAAATCCCATGGCAGCTGCAAGTTGAATACCTTGTATTCCCACACCACCACCTCCACCAGGAAATACAGCCCAGTTACCCGGTCTAAGACCCGAAGCTTCGAGGCTTTGAACCATTGTTGAGGCACTGCACATGATAGGCTCCTGGAATTAGTACTTTAAGGTCCCATTGCAGATTAGGAAATTGAACACTTACTGCTGCCAGCTCGTCGGAAACCCCCTCAGGGATCCTAGTCGTGTATTTCGCCGGACTAAGAATGTATTGTTGGTATGTTCCTTGAGATCGTCAGTCGATACGAAATCCCTAGAAATTTTCTTAGACTTACCAGGACACTGTAGACCTGTGAAGACTCCCTTGCGGCAATGGGTCTCTTGTCCACCCCAGCAAAGCCTACAACTTCCACATGTGTCCCAAAGCGGCTTGACACCTCCGCGGTCACCAACACTCCACCCCTTCACGTTGCCACCAAGTTTCACTACCACTCCCGCCCCTTCGTGGCCTGGCGATCTCACGCCGAAGTCGCTCATCTTCGGAAGTGCCAAATCGTTCATCATGTAATGTAGATCGGAAAAGCAGAGACCGGTTATGTTTAATCTCAACAATAATTCGTCGGGACCTGAAAGGAGAGATTTAGTCATATCATTCGGGCGATGCAACTGTTGGTGCTGTACCTGGTTCTGGGACTGGGACATCTTCTACTTTCACATAGCAACCAGGGCCTTCATCATACATCACTCCAGCCTTGCAGAATTTTGGTATGGTAAACTCCCCATTTTTGCCCATCCTGGTATTTGGGCTGCTGGTATATTTGTTTATGACAAATTGAAATTTCGTTTGAAAGTATCAAAAATCACTGTTCGGATTACTGAACTAGGTCTCGCGTAGCGCTATTAAAGATGGAAGACTAGATTTCTTACCCACGAAATCGTTGTCAAAATTTCTGACTCGAGGAGTAATGACCAGCATACAACGGATTGTCCCTTGGCACTCACTACATTTCTTCGCCACAATCTGAAGTGCTCTGCATTCATTGGGCCATCATGACCCATTCGCATCTCTGACTCTTTGATCTGTATTTGGAAAATCACCCAATCTCTTTAGGCGTCTCAAGGCCCGAATCAGACATCAGTCAAGGAATCCCTGTCTTGGCACTATCGCTTTCTAGTGAATCAGGCTTTGCTTCTTTTTCAGACATTCTGAACTCACTTCCCTTGCCTTAACTTTCAAACATTTGAAGACTGAGGCGCACCCAGGGTTTGGCATTCAACCTCAAGCATTATCGCAACTTGCTACTCGAAAGTTCTTGAATTGCATTGTCTTCCGGTCCATAAATGGCGTCAAACGTGACAGCTCCTCAATGGGACCGCGGCCATATCAAAGACCCTGCAGTACTAATCATTGGCGCCGGGATTTCAGGTGAGTAACATTCCAAGGCCCAGTCTTGCCATTGCCGATGTCTAACAGTGTACAGGGCTTTGTGCAGCGATAGATCTCATTCGTTTCAACGGAACGCGTAATTGCTTATTATCGAGAAAGCAAACCAAGTCGGAGGAACTTGGAACGATAACAAGTATCCGGGATGCTGCTGTGATGGTGAGCAGGAAGCTACCGGAAAGTTCTTCTAGGGCTCTAATCTAACACATTCAAGTGTGGAGTCAACTTTATTCGCTGTCCTTCGAGCCAAATGCGAACTGGTCCCGAGAATACCCAGGGCAGGAGGAAATCCATCAGTACCTTATCGGTGTAGCACAGAAATGGGGACTCTACCGTCATATCCGCTTCAATACTGAAGTTGATGAAGCGCACTGGCAAGAGAAAGACAAACAGTGGCAAACTGCTGTTCGTGTAACTGGGGGCAAGGCTGCAGAGTTTGGGGATCGATATAATGTCAAGTCCGATTTCCTGATCAGCTGCGTGGGACAACTGAATCAGCCGTACTGGCCTGAAATTGAGGGATTAACCGGCTTCCAAGGGACTGATGCACTCTGCCAGACGGAACTAGAACAATCCAATGGATGAAAAACGAGTTGCAATCATAGGCAACGGAGCAACAGCGGCCCAAATCGTGCCCGAGATCGCCAAAGTCGCGAAAGACCTTACCGTCTTTCAGCGCACACCGAACTGGATTGTGCCAAGAGCAGACCAAGCTATTACCAAAAGCAGACAGGCGATATACAAGTACATACCTGCTTGGCGTCGACGGTATAGAGCACAACTTATGGACCTCAGGGAAAGCTTTTATGATGCAGCTGTGGTGGAGGATTCGAACATGAACAACGAAATTATAGCCGCGAGCACTGCTATGTTAAAGTCTCAGTTGACCCGGAAACCAGAATTGATAAATGTACTTACTCCGGACTATCCACCTGGGTGCAAGCGCATCATCATATCGGATGACTATTATCCCGCCTTGAACCGCCCCAACGTGCATCTGGAAACACTCGCCATTCATAAAATCACACCCAGTGGCATTATGAGAGGAGGCAAGGAACTGAAGCTAGACGCTATCATTCTCGCCACCGGCTTTCGTACTGGCCAGTTCTTGACCCCCACCAAGTTGTTTGGTGTTGGAGGCCGTCCTCTCCAGCAAGTTTGGTCCCAAGGCGTGCAGGCTTATCTGGGGATTACAGCCGCCAGTCTACCAAATTTTGCTATGCTTTACGGACCGAATACGAACCTTGGCCATAATTCAATCATCCTTATGATCGAGGCGCAGTCTAGGTACGTGGCGAGAATGATTTTGGAAGTAACCAAAGCTCGCGAGCGTGGAGAGACGCTCAAAATTGTTCCCCGTCAGACGAAGTTAGACGCATACAATAGGGAGATCCAAGAGCGTTTGGCAAAAAGTACCTTTGCCTCACCTAAGTGTAACAGTTGGTACAAAACGGAAGCTGGCGTGGTAATCAACAACTGGAGTGGAAATGTCTTGGAGTACCAGAGCTTACTATCGTCTGTTGACTGGTCGGATTTCGAGCTTTCGGGCTCAGCAGCAGCAAACGTTTCCGAGGCCAGATCTTCGTACATAGGGAGAGTTGTGGAGGAGTCGCCAGGTTGGTTGGCGCTTGCCCAAACCTCGGCAGTCACCATACTTTTGGTAGCGGCTACTGCCATGGTGCTCTCAAGGTTTCTCATTCCCTCTGTCTGTGTATTCTTGTGATGGTCAGCAGGCTTCCGACTGTTCTGATGTTGCAATGCTGGTTTATCATTTGTATGCTGTTGCAAAATCACTACTTCCGGGGAATTCCGCTCAGCCTCCTAGATTGGTCCCTCTCTGTCGTACCTCCATAGGCATATAGCTTGTGCACTTCCCATACCACTCGGATAGGGAACGTAACTCTAGCCAGCTCATTCCTTTTCTTTGACGGGAATGCGATTGGAGGGATCTTGATGCGTAAGTGGAGAAATCACAGACCCCACGGCTCTCGTCCATTGGGGAAATGCTTGCCCCGCATGATTCAACAATACTGAGTAATCTTAGCGTCTTTTTTCCTAGCCGTACTGGCTATATCAGCATCTGGCTGCATTGGTTACGGCCCTATTGCGTGGGATCTTGCAGAGCTTCCCATCCTGTAGTTTCATGAACAGAAGATCTATAGGAGTTATGTCTAGGTCTGAGGCCCACGAAGCTCGCAACACTACACTTCGCGAGGTGTTCTCAAATCGAGACACTGCAAAAGCTGGAGCGACTGCGGATGCCATCGTAATTCCTAACAGAGCTCGTCTCTTGGCTTTGAGCCATGAAGTGCAGGATGTGCCCAACAGTGATGGCGCAAAGATTCATTGGATAGGCGGCACAGCGGCTGACAAGGTGATACTCTACTTCCATGGTTCGTCATGCCCACCAACAACTGGGATAGGTGGCAGCTCTAATCGTCCACTAGGTGGTGGCTATGGTCTGCCGGCCTTTGATGGGCATGTAATCTTTCTTAGTCAATGCGCCGAGAAGCTGAAGTCTCAAGGACACAATACTAGAGTTGCTTTACTGGAATATGGTGGGCGACGATCCTCTCGTGAGGCAAGCAACTTTGGATTGCTAATACTGCACGCCAGGGTTGACGACGGCCAAGAAGTATCCAACCCAATTTATTCAAGCTACGGAAGGCTTGCGAACAGTTCTCTCCACTGGATATCGTCCTGAAAATGTAAGTCGGCATCTAATGCTTTTGATTATCATATGTTTTGTGCAATCTTACAACATTCCTCAGGTTATTGTTGGCGGAGATAGCTGTGGGGGCAACATGGCCCTTGCTCTAATATCTATTCTGCGCCACGGCCACCCGGATATCCAACCACTGAACCTTGCGAGGCCACTTGCTGGTCTACTTCTCATTTCCGCATGGGTCAATTTCAAGTCCAGCTCCCAATCTTACGCACTCAATGAAACACGTGATATCCACATGAAGCAGCAAATGCATGAATGGGCCACCGACTTCTGCACCGAAGAGGAAAGAAATAATTACACCGAGCCAGCAGAAGCACCATCATCGTGGTTCAAAGAAATACCGGTGTCAAAAATCCTGAATATTTTCGGTAGTTACGAGCTCTTTAGGGATGATATTGTCAAGCTTGGGCGGGTCCTGAAACAAGCAGGTGCAAATGTTATGGACGTCGAATGTCCTATGCAGGTACATATCGACTGTGTGTTGGATGCTCAGACTGGCTTGGAAGTTGGGCCTATGTCAACTGAAACATGGCGTTGGCTAGAAGGGGTATTTTGAGAGACTCAGTCCAAGGTCTCTTGATGTTCCAAGGCTCAGTACCTATCGACATTCGCGTTCTGTAGTTCCACAAAGTCCTTCTCCAGTACAAACCATTTATCCAGTGCGGCATCTGTTGCGTCCCCCCTTATATACAATTAAGACTATGGAAAACGGCTCCGAAAGCATATCGCACATATTTCTCTAGAGCCATGCTTGATGACTGTCACCTATTGCTTTTTTTGTAAAAAGTTTCCAGAAGCCTGGAAATCAAGGCTGCTGAAGAAGGATCGCACCCTAACATCAGACCAAGACCAACCAGGACGCGCTCACCCATCCTTTCAAAAGAGCATGTAACCCCATTTTATTCTCGTGCTTCTCGTCAAATCTCCAGTCCAAATCAATAGGTATTCTAAAGACAGTTGGTAGTTGTCTTAGGTCGTCAATGTTGGCAGCCACGTTGTTTCAAAAGCGGAAGCGCCGCCAAGTGAATCACTGGGTGGCCGGCTATTCGAGGCACTCATAGCACCAGTAAACTCAGGGAATTCCAAGAAGAAACTCTCCTCCATCGTCCAAAATTTGAGGTCGCGGTGATACCGCTCGAATAGAGGGCTTGCGACATACGTGTCCGTGGCGGGAAAGTATTCATATGTGTCCTCAAGCGAGAACGGCCAGGAGAAGCGAAAGTCCCGCATGTAGGCGGCGGAAAACTTCGAGCCGTCGAGACGGAGACTTCCTCGAATAAGCGTTTCTCGCAGTCCCGGCCTGAGGCAGAGAGGTTAGTCAAGTCAGCAGGGATGACCAATTGAAACACAATTTACCAGGCAAAAAAGTCGATCAAAATCGGGTATTTCTTGTCTCTTTTAGTGCCCCTAGAGGAAGCAGATCCGTCAGTAAGATCTAGTAGAAGGGTGAGATCATCATCTTATTCCAGGTAGTCCCGGATGGCACTTACCCAGGCCTTTGCCAAGCCGGCATGCGTTCTAGAACTCTAAAATCTTGGTTCAGGAAGTACTGTAATTGTTAGCAATTAAGCCACAATCTCATGCACCCGGAATCCATAGTACCTGAATTAGAAGATGATTCTTGTAAGCAATAGCTAGCCGATTGACCCGGTCGAGACATTTCGAGACGAGATTATCGTAGCATCGCAAGATTTGTATCACAGGATTATTTTGCTCCTTATGGCTCAGGAAATCCCAGCCGAGTTCGAACGCCTTGAAGATAACGCCACGATCTGAGATTCTCGCCTCAGACGCATCTCTGGGGGACACGGCAAAGATTCGATTGTAAATATTATTCGTCTGCAACCAGAGGTCGAGATTGAATCCATTTCCCGCAAACAGTGATAGCGGACTTCCTAAATGGAGATTATACAAGGCTTCCAGGGACATGGTTCGAGACCCTGCAGGGTGCTTGAAATGCTCATCGGGTATGGATTGAACCATCTCAAGTTGTGGATCCTGTGACTGCAAATTCTCTGCATCCGTGAGTATATCATGGTCTTGAGGATTTCCGTTGACAAGCATAACCGCACTCTCGGCCATGAACGCAGCAAGGTCGTCGTCCACAGGCACTGGAGCATTAGTCATGGCATCAAGATCGGTTGACCCGGATTCATCGTATAGTGAATGCCTATGATCCTCGACCTGGAAGTGGAGTTGGCAGTGTGCAGAAGCACCTCCTCTAGATGCAGCCACAAGTGCTTCTGTCGATAATGACGGCCTAAGCACTGGAGCAAAAGTTGGACTGGGAATTGGTATCCCCTTGGCAGTCGCCATTGGGGTTGGTGTAGGCTGGTTCTTTTTCAGCCGTCGAACGAGACCGCGCAAGACGCCATCAACCCCAGGAAGCCTACCATATGGTCAAAGATATCCCCAATTCAGACCGGAAGAATACAAAGATCCAGCAAGCCTCCCCGGGGAGCTATATGCTCCGCCTCCGGGACCGAATTCTCAGGTAGCATTACGAGTCGCACCCGCTGAATTAGCACATCCTGGCAGCTAAGACGATTTCAATGCTCAAGGACTATATAGTCAGCATCAGGACATATGCTTTCAAAAGATGGCAGGGCACAACGGAGTTTGTAATTGGTTGGAGCTTTTTGTCATACCCTGGCACTTGAAAGAAACGAAGGATTTTCAGGAACTACCATAGATCGTGCATCTCGACCTCGCTTTCTATAATGGCACCAAAGTGATGGCGTTTTCCGATATGAATTGGTCATGCTGAATGAGTTAACATATTTACATAGCGAGCGGCGCAATTTTAGTCCCCAAGTACCACATCAAAGCTCATGTAAGATTACTTTTGTTGAATTCACACTGACACCGTGAACTGCGGTCGGGCAGGAGAACCAGGGACCAGTCCGTTCTCCATCGTGGGCGTAGATGAAAGGGGCGCCACTCCCTTCCCGCATTCCTACCTAATCTGGCGGTCTTACAATCCTCCTGATGCATTACTGGCCCGTGATTCCCACAGGATCTTTCGTTACGAGTTGATATCGTAACTATTCGCCCTGAAAGATCCATCACCGTCTCCGCCGCTTGCACCAGCCAAGACGCGTTACCACTCGAATCATACATCAATCGAGATGCCTAAACGAAGGCATTGCGCCTGGCGAAGTCCAAATGGCGATAACTGCAAGAGTGGTGTGGCAATCACACGTGGAAAAAGGCGTAAACCCTTGTTGGAGGTTTCTGGCAATGACCAACCAAATCGGGTCAGAAAAAGGTCAAAATTCACTCAATTTGGATGCGGATTGTGTAACGTGCATCTCTGTAGACGAAATAACTGCCATGAGAAGTTTCATGGCATTATCTACAGTAGTTAGGTAGTGGCATGCATTTGAATTACTTGGGTTACTATAAAATGCATCGATGGTATTTTAGTTGGGGTGACGCCAAGAAAAAACGTGAACAGCCGACGACTCATGGGATAAGCAGTTCGAACACCAGCAGACTCGGCGGTCGGATACTCAACCTCCATCCCGGCGATGGTGATGATAGAGTGTGGTTGTGTGACTATGTGGTTGTTGTGGTTGTTGTGGTTATGTGGTTGTGTGTGGTTGATTACTCCTTGTAACTCCTTGTACCCTCATGATCTCGTCTTGGCGGTTGGCTGGGTCGGCTTCGCCCGTCGTGGTTGGCGGCCTGGTAGCGTATTGTGATTTTCGAGTAGGCAAATATCCGTGGTTTAACCGAATCGTGATGAACTTTTTTGGCCTGTAAATGGCGGTGAGTTTGTTCCTCCTCTTTCTCGATGAATATTAGTCCTCGTCATTCTGTAATTGTTGCATCGTAATCCTCGTCGTCGGTTCTCTATAGAATGTCAGTGAAATGCCGTCAGGAGGGTCTCATTTGCGGTACACGGATGAGGTTAGAGACCTCATCCGCCTACAGCTCGAAGCTGGCATTGCCGGTAATAAAATCGCGCACTTCAACAGGGTTTCCGCCTCTTTTGTCTCACAGGTTAATCAACTGCGTAAAACGCCTCAATTGCTCCTTGATTTGACGCGCAGGAGAAAGGGTCCGAGTCCTAAAATTCATGGAGAGGCAAGGGAGGCTTTGGTGGCATTGTTGGAGGAGGATGAGACCATCTTTTTGAGTGAAATCGCCGATTATTTAATGGAGCATTTTGCAATAGATGTCAGTGTTGCAACAGTGAGTAAAACACTCAAGGAAATGGGCCTTACCCGCAAGAGATTAGGGCTTGTCGTACACCGCGCCCAGGATGAGGAATTAAGAGCTCACTTCCGTGCCCGTATGGCACGCGATTACAGCGTGGATCAGCTTGTAACAGTGGATGAATCGGCCACAAATGAGAGGACAAGTGAGAGAAAGTACGGTTGGAGTCGTCGCGGCGTGCCCTGTCGAGCATCAAGAGTAGGAAGGAGGAGTGAACGTTGGAGTGTTTTACCAGCTCTTACTCATGACGGCATCCTTTATTATGAGGTTTTCCACGGTTCATTCGATAGAGAGAGGTTTGAGGGGTTCATGAGGGAGCTCGTGAGCAAGATGAGTCCTTTTCCTGCGCCAAATTCAGTCATCCTGCTTGATAATGCGAGTATTCATCATAATGGGAGGATTGAGGAGATCTGTCACGACGCCGGCGTCGTCGTTGAGTACCTCCCTCCTTACTCACCGGATCTGAACCCTACCGAGCTGGTTTTCCATGAGTTGAAGGACTGGTTGCGTCGTAACAGGGACCTAGCGGAGGACTTTGAGCATTGGTTTGAGGGGATCATTCATCTAGCGATGAGTTACATTACGAGTACGGCGACAGCAAGAGGTTATTTCAAGAAATGCGGTTACGGAGTGATTGAGGATTGGGAGTAAATGATGAGTCTTTAAAATGAGTGCTAAATGCGCCGTGGTGAGTGCGTAAGACTGGCGAGTATTTGATTTCTTGATTTAAGGGGTATTTCAGCACTACGCATGCAGTTTCATGAATAACGAAGCTTTCCGACTCTTCTTTGAACACATTTCTATGTAGATCACCACTAGAAAAGATTATCCGCCAAGCGAGTTAGCTTTATTCCACCTCGTCGTTGCGTAAATCGCTGGTAAAGGCCCCATGGCATCTATTCCTGAGGTCCTTTGACGTTGCATTTCTGATAGTCATGTGACTCTCAAAACTCTTGGCATTGGTCATAAAGTGGTAAATTAAATTACAATACAAAGATTAGTACGAGTATAGGCTGTATTAGGAAATCACGTGTTTCCTAGCGGTATATCTCGTAATTTAAAAAATTAACCTCAATCAACAGCGACGGCGAGGTCAAGAGCTCACTGCGCCACCACTACCACTCTCTACGGCATGTCCTTCTCTCACCCACTCCTTCAAATGCTTCTTTATCTTGCGCACGAAACCTGGAGCGATTTTCATCGCCTCAAACTGGAGATCGGTGATCTCACGAATGGCACTGAAACTCCATCCATCCCCCGCCAAAATGTCACCAAACGATGCGAATTCCTCACGGTTGCGTGGATATTTGACGCCTAACCAACTCAAATAAAGGAGGAGGTTCTCATCATCATCTCCTGCTAGAAATGGCGGGCTTGATTGAGGCTCTTTTGGTGGTGCAATCGCAGTGCCAACTAATGCTGTCGGCGGTCCATTTTGCGGTGGAAACCCTCCTGGCATTCCACTCTCTCTACTGCCACCAACTCCTCCGGCATAATAATACTGGCAGTAAATCGGCGCTGGCATTACTGGTAAAGGCATCCCTTGTCCTTTATCCTGTAACTTGTGGCGATCTCGTGCCACTTTGGCATCTCCAAGGACCTCTCCTGGGACCTCATCCGTGTTGGCCACGCCCTTTTTTATAAGGGCATTCCATTTCTTTATGTTAGGCAGCGACAGGGCCAAATGGCCATGGAGGTTTCCTGCGCAAAGGGCCCCTTTATTGGGACAACTGGCAACGCGGCAAACCCACTTTGCAGTGATTGTAGTGAGTGAGTCTGCCAGGACCTCCTCTACCATTGCTTCATTGGCATTACTGACGCGTTGACGCTGACTGGCACTCATCCTGGTAGGTCCTCCTCCTCCTGAACGACGCGTTGGTGCCTCTACAACTCTCTCTACTGGCGCAGGCACGGGCGTAGGTGCCTTCCACTCAAAAACCGCCTTTCCAGAGACCTCCAAAAACCGATGATCGAATGGCTTGTTGGTGGCAGTTTTCTCCCACCAAATCTTCTTGAAATTTTCATACTGCTCCTCTGTGCTACAGTTAATCGTCTTGAGCACTTTACTCTTCCTCTTAATCGTCAATCGCACGCCAAAATGGTCAGGAATGAGCTCCTCATCATTACGGGAATATTTGTTGGCTATTTGCAGTCGAGCACTCGTTATAAAGTTGTTGATTTGTGACCAATAGGCCGCGGCGATGTCGGCGCTGTACTGCAATGCCCTACCGATGTAAGTGTCCATAGAAATCTCTATGGGACAGGCATTCTCGTCGTATTCTGTTGTTGGTGAGACATCATTTAGCGATTCCGTGGTTTTACGCTTTTTACTGGTCTTTTTACTAACCACCTCTCTTTGCGCAGAGGGTCCTAGTGACCCTAGGACCTCGGTTAACGATTCATCATCATCACTGAGTTGCCACGGTTTGATTTGGTTGGTTGTAACAGCGCGGCGCGTGCCAAATCACCTACACCAAAGTACTGTCCTCGTGGAGTGAACACCGCGTTTTCCTCCTCTTCCTGCGCCTCCTCCGCCTCAATGCTCGGTCGTACAGAGTCCTCCTCCTCATCATGTGACGAGTCACTACCAGAAAGAGACCCTACAGGGGTTGCGGCGGCAGGAGTAGATCGAGAAGAGGTATTATAGGTATCCCATGAGTCGTCGGGTGGTCACGTTTTGGGTCTTGGCAACCCCAACTAAATTGCGATCGATGCATTTTATAGTAATCTAAGTAATTCAAATGCATGCCACTACCTAATTACTATAGAGAAGGCCATGAAACTTCTCACGACAGTTATTCCGTCTACATAGATGCACATTACACAGACCGCATCCAAATTGAGTGAGTTTTGACCGAGTTCTGACACGATTTAGTCTTGCGTTGCCAGATACCTCCATCAAAGGTTTACGGCTTTTTCCACGCGTAATTGCCACGCCACTCTCGCAGTTATCGCCATTTGGACTTCGCCAGGCGCAGTGTCCTCGTCTAGGCATCTCGATCGATGCGTGGTTTGAGTGGTAACGCGTTTTGGCGGGTGTAGGCGGCGGAGACGGAGAAGGGTCCTTCAAGGCGAATATCTGTGAAATTAACTCCTCACGAAAAGCCCTGTGGGAATCACGGGCTAATAATGCATTAGGAGGGTTGTAGGACCTCCAAATTAGGTAGGAAT